TTATCTTCTAGTTGCCAATTTATGGCTAAGTTTTATTTCTGATGTCATGTGGTAAAAAAAAAAGTATAGGTTTTTTTGAGTTATAAAATATAGGTATAAAAGAATTATAGTGGAGTGGTACCTTATAATTAATGTGTAAATTTTCTCTTATTTAAATTATTTTTTAGCTCCCGTTATTTGTGCAGGAGGTTAATGTGTAGGATAATGGATAGAGAGAATTAAGGAGGGCGTCGTGTCATTCTGGTTTGTTTGAGTTCGAAATCGTGGTTTATGCTCGAGTGGTGATGTTGGCTTTCTCGTTTGTATCCTTCAAATCACCAGAAGAAATTAAAGAGCAATTATTTTCGGTGGAGAAAGGGCCGCTTCTTATCGAAGGTGGGCTATGGGATAATGGAGAGACTTTAATGCAAAATATTTTAGAGGATATTTTTTTTTTTTTTTTTTTGTTTTTCTTTCCTTTTATGTTTTAATGATCTCTATGGTTATGGATAGGAGTCCTTTCTCTTGCCTTCTCTTTTTCTTCCTTTCTCTCCTTCTCTTTTCTTTTTCTTTTTTTCTTTTTATTTTGATGATACCCGATTTTGAGCGGTTCATTTTTTTAAGCTTTTTTTTACCAAAATCGGTTTATTGGGACACTTCTAAAATTAACATCTCAAACTGATTCTAGTCTAATTCTTCTCGACCAATTCCAGTTTGATTTTGATCTGAAATCAATTTATGGCTAGTTCGATAATCATGGTAAAAAAAAAGTATATTTTGATTTAAAAATAAAAAAATATATACGAATATAATTGATTTCTCTTATTATTATTTTAGCCCGATTAATAATAATAATAAGAAGAATAGGAGGCTGGTACTTTCAAAATCGTAGCTCAGTGGTGATCTTCTTTGATCCCAATCACCAAAAGAAAAAGAGCAATAATGCGGTGAAAAGGGCCCCAGAAGTGCATGGTAATGGAACTAATCAAATAAATTTAAATAATAATAATAATAAAAAAAAGAAGCTTGGCTTGGCAACAAAGCATGTACCGGCCAGCAAATTAGTGGCTTGATCTTCTATTCCAAGCAAAATGGAGCGTGCCACACCCATTGTAGACAATTCAAGTAATTGATGGGACCCATTTTAATAAATGAAAATGGCGACCTCGCCGAACAAGATATTGCGCCGCCTGGTGGACTCCCACCACTTTCACTACCGTCCGCCACCACTTTGGTGTTTCATATTGCAGTGACACCTTTCCTACTACCCCCTATCAATTTCATTAGGTAACCTCTACTCTCTTTTGCCCCATCATTATACATTTTTTTCTTTTTATTGAATTTTTAGAGCTTTTAAATAAAAATATCATTTTGCTGCATTTAGGTATAATCAATCAATTTTTTTTATACTAACTGTTTTATATTTCCATATTAAGTTATATCATAAAAATCTAGCAGAATATAATTTTATTGAATTGCAACCATAATACATTTTTGTTGAGGCAAAATCAAAGTTTAATTATTCTTATAATAAATTATACTAATGATACTTCAATTTGTTATTTTTTAATTATTAAATTTTTATTTTTATTTCGATAAGGTCACTCACTGAAATCCGATCATCTAAATTGCAAATATAGTACTAAAAATAAAATATGACACTTTAAAAATATTATTTTCTCATAAATTTGGAAACTACCTATATTAATTTATTTAACAAAAGTATCATTTAAATGAAACAGTTATAGAAAATAAAAAAGAAAAAATGTTCTACCACCCTTAGTTAGTACTCCCTTTGTTCTAAAATATTTATCCATATTTTCAATTTTAAATGTCCTAAAATATTTATCCAATTGATTTAAAAAGATATTTACTTTTCCTTTTATGCCCCTCATTATAACTAGTTTTAAATTTTAGAAATAACCATTTTATTTTAAAAGATGACAATTATGAAAAAGTATAGAGATTTTATATAATGCGGCACTATAATTATTTTATTTCTTAAACTATAGGAAAAAATTTGAGACAGAAGGAGAAACATTTGTCAGCATGATTTGTTTACTCTCTAAAAATTCAAACTGAATGTTATAATAATATTATAAACTCTATGACTATATCATAAAGGTTCAAACTCGAGATACTTTACTTTTTCGTAACAAAATTTGATATTATAATAGCTATCACAACCGTAATAAAACAAAATTTGGTACTATAATAGCCATCACATCCGTAATAGGAACATTGCATAACCTAGATAGCTCTACTCGATGACATTTCTTATATAAATATAAGCGGTGCAACGTTGAAGACGGCAACACAGACAAAACTTATAATCCGAACGGGATAGTTCAATGGCAAATAATATTTACTCTGAAAACGGATAAAGATTAATTAAATTTATAGATCGTTAAAATATATACGGATCTGGATATCTCGTGTAAGTATTAAAAAAAAAATAGAGACAAAAATTATTATCTAATAAACAATTTTGGGCGGTTACATTCTTTTTTTTCAAAACAATCATTATAGAAAAACTCAACTTCACTCGAATATTAGCAAAATAGACTCTGGAGACTTCACTATATTTCAAATTTTAAATCATCAAACTAGGTTAAAGCCAAAACTTTTACTATAATTGAATATTAAAAAACCAATATTATAAGACACCAATAATGAATTGGCAACAAAAAATTTACTGTTATGAAATCTCATAAAGGAGTTTTAACTGTACATTTAACGCAACCCCACAATTAAAAAAATAAAATTAATTTCTTGTCCCTAAATACTTGTCACATTTTATAGATTTCATAATAATAATTTCATTTTCATTTTTACCCTTTATATATAACCAACAGTGATTACTTCACTTTTTTAATAATTTATTATAATCAATTTACTCAATAAATTATTGTAACTTAGACAAGTATCTGGGAACAAAGGGAATATGTCGAGCTTTTTATTAGAAAAAATCAAATTGTATACAGATGTGGAATATAAATCAATATGTTTTTATGTTTTTATATAATAAGTTCAATAATAAACTACTTATATAAAAAAAAAAAAAAATACAATCTTAATTTAAAGTATTCACTTAAGTTGACGAAACATAATAGATGTGTCATAAGCAATCGTTTGCTCTACTTGGTGGCTTTTCATGATCATTGTTCAACTCTATAGTCAATTTATAACTCCGATTTGATTGTTTTCAAGTTTCTTCCTTTATCAAAGAGGAGATTTGCAAACCTGAGAATTAGATCTAAAAATAATTAAATCACTATAATAGTGATAACAAAAATAAAAAATTATCAAAATAATTAAATCTGAAAATAAAATCTCAAAATATGGATAACAATAATTTCAATATATGAGCAATAATAATTCAGATCTACGTTAACAGATACAAACCTGAGAATTATTCCGGAAAAAAAAAAAGAGGTTAACAGATACAAACCTGAGAATTATTCCGGAAAAAAAAAAAGAGGACAAGGGTGATCACAGATGATATTTCACCAGTGACAGCTCATACAAAAGGAAAGAAGGCTTTTAGATTTTTTTTTTTTTTTTTTTTTTTTTTTTTTTTTTTTTTTTTTTTTTTTTTTTTTTGGAGAGAGACGCCTTTCGTTTTTGGTTTTTTTTTTTTTTTTTTTTTTTTTTTGGAGAGAGACGCCTTTCGTTTTGGTTATAGAATCTGCAGCTCTAGTTTATGAAAATGCGGCTGGACTCAAGCACCGGTTCGGTTTGAATAAGCATCAGCTCAGAAATGATTTTGAATCGAATTAAACTATTAAGATATGAGCCAATCTCCGGGTTTATTTTCAAAACTATAACAAGTTGGTTCGGATCGATTTCAATAAAAAAAATGTTGAAATCACATTGGAACTAGAATGGAGGAATTGAAATTGAAAATTTGAAGGATGAAGTTTGGTTCAGTTTTGAAATATCACCGGTCTGAACCGTTGGTCCAGCCCTAAATGGGCCAAACTTTGAATTCTAATGTACATATAGATTTCCAGAACAAAGGCTCACTAACTGCTACTCAAGGAACAGCGCCGCTTTTGAAAGCGACCTCAGAGCACATTTTATAAACTAAAATCTTCGCTAAAAAAGGGATCACCGCGAAGTCAGTGTCGCAGGTCGGCACAACAAAATTATTTTGATTTAATACCAGTGATTAGCTTTAGACTGTAGGCTGTAGACAGTGTAATATTACTATTAAATATTTTGCAAAAAATACAAATAAAGTTTATAAATTTTTTATATTGTTTTTTATTTACCTGATTTCGGATAATATTCAAGTTAATTTATATATTAATCTGGATTAAATATTTCTCCAAATAAATTTAAAAGCACATCTCACTATTTATAATTTTGTTTTATCAGTTGTTTGTTTATATTGAATTTTGAATATCGAATCTGAATAATTTATTGAATTAAATCATTAAAAAATTATTGAATTTGAAAAATGATATATATATTTTTTTAATTGCAAAAAGTAATTTTATTAATCTGAATAGAATAGTTCAGTGACAAAAAGCACTTCGATCCTCTGTAATACAAACTCTCCGGTGCTCAAAATGTCAAGACTCTCTTTAAACGCTCACGAGTAAATCCAATTAAAAAAGAAAAACAATAAGCAACTTATTGGTAGCTCACACAAATAAACTTATTTTATTATTCTAGAGGTTGAATGAACTGTCAAATGATGGGAGGACACTTTAAAAACCTATTTCATAATTACAGTTTTAAATCTATTTCTGCACATAAATTCAAATCATAAAATATTATTACAAATTATTTATTTTTTTAAATTTCAAAAAAATGAAGTTCTCAATTATTAGGGGATGGTATAACAGTACCAGTAAGTAAACAGTGAGACTGCATGAATAATATATCAGTCAAATTCATATCTGTCGGACGGTTTAAAGATCATGGAACGTAATACACGGTGAGGATTGAATCAAAAAGTGCAAAAGTTGAAAGGAAGTTAATCATTTCTCTCAAAATAAATTAAAAACATCGTCTAGTACAGAGTATTAGTAACTGGTCTGTTCTTGCCGGGCATTTCTGTTCTAAATATCCATAGCCACCAGCAACACCTCTCTCTTAAATGCCACTGATCTTCTTCTCTCTTTAAATCAAATCTCTGATCTCTCTCATTTTCATGGAAAATAGAAATTTCCCATTAAGATCTCTTCTATTTGTATTTTCCATTTCCATTTTAGTGTATTAAAGTTTTAAGCTTTTGAATATATAGATCTTTCCATTTCCATGGCTTATCAGTTTCAAAGCTCCATTTTTAGAGCAAGTAAGTTTGAAGCTATGATTTGGGCTTCTAAGTTGGTTCTGATTTCTGCCGGAATTATATCCACTGTTCTTTTATTCAAAGTGGCCATAATTCCATTTACGTTTCATCTTATTCTGTCTGTTATTCCTAGCCTTTGGATCTCCCTCCGTAGCTGGTTATCTCCACCCTTCATTTACATCATCCTGAACTTCATCATAATTACCATTGCTGCCACCACCACCACGGACAAAACATCTTCCACTAAAACTCATTTGCCTTCCTTAGACAAAGCTCAAGAAGAAACTGTCTGGCAAGATGTCATTCAAGAAAACAACACAAAATCAGCTCAAGAAAATCAAACCCTGTTTCCAAACGCCGTCGTTCAAGAGCATGACGCAATTGAAGAAAATCGGGATCTTTGGCAAAACGCCATCGTCCCAGAGTCTGATTCTGCTAAAGAAGAGAAAGAAGAGAAAGAAGAGAGCTTAAAACCAGTAGAGGATTCGCTGGAGGACACGTGGAAGTTGATTATGGAAGGACAAGGGAAAGAGAAGTCACCCCAGCTGAAGAAGAGCGAGACTTGGCATGTACCACCGCGGGTAGTGGCGGTGGCTGTTGCAGCTGATGAGGAGGAGGAGGAGGAGGGTGGTGATAGTGATCCGGTGGCTTGGGCTAAGCGAGAATTAAAGAAATCAGATACGTTCAGTGACAGAGCATCGTTAAGGAGAGAGAAATCTATGAGTCAAGATGAGTTGAATCGGAGAGCGGAGGAGTTTATTAATAAGTTCAATAATGAAATGAGAATGCAACGACAAGAATCCGATCAACGGCGTTTCATGGCTGCGGTTAATCGTCGTGTTTAGTTTCTTAATCTTCAATTAACTAAATAATTACAGGTTTATGCCTTAATTGTGGTGTGCTAAACCAAAGGAGAGAGGGGTCTTGTTTAGTTGACTCTTAATCCTGCTTCTTAAGTCTTAATTTTGCTGTAAATGTTAGAAATAATATATAAATGGATATTAATGTTTGTTCTAAAAAAAATTTCCCCAACAAATCAAATTCAAATGCCTTAATTAGTAAAAGATGATAAAATTTCGCTAATGCATCAAATTCAAATACCTTAATCAACAAGTTGGTAAGTGACCTCAACCTTCGTAAATGAGAACACAAGTTTGATATCGGGGAAAAGAAGCGCACTTTATGAGAGGATAAAAAAATCTTTACAATTTATAGCCCTAGAGATTATATCGAATCTTTATACCAAAAGAATCTATTACAAAAAGGATATTTTTGTAAAGTTATTTATTATAATTATAAAAGCGAGAAGACATGAATTATAAATTAAAATAAATTAATTAATGAGTTTTGTTGGATTGTGCCTAGTTTGGATTTGACTCATTGATAGATTAGTTGAAGTTCAAGTTTTGTTCATTTAAGACTATCTTAACTTTTTATGATAGTGTATAATCAATTGTAATTTTTTATAATTAACAGTGGTTGATAATTATTAATTGTTAAATATTCATAGTGATGTAACCATGCGATCCACAGATGTAAATTTGTGTTTTTTTATCGTCTTAGATGGAAAATATTTCAGAAAATTCATGTGAAATGCCCACCTATTCATCTCTTATAAATGAAAATACAAAAACATAAAAAATACATAAATTATAAATACATTGGAGTAATAAAATATCTATAATATTAATATTTTTAATCAATTTAGGAAAAAAAATGATATCGTGAACCACGACCAGTGAACAAATTAATATTCATACATAAACTAAAATCACAAAGATAATGAAGAATGCGCATAAGTAATCGAACACCGTTCGAAATTGCCAACACTCACATTATAATAGTTAAATGTTATAGAAAATTCAAAGATTCAATAAAACATTCCACAAAAAGAGCAATGGAGGAATAATCATGTATGTTATTATTGGTTCATAGTAAATTCATTTAATTACTCCAACAGTGATTCACATTAGGTTTGTTCTTTTTGTTTGGAAAGATCAATATCAAATACTCTTGTACTAAGATATTTCTCGAGAGAATTTGCGCGTGAATATAAATTTATATCAATTTTCATTATTGAAATATATTATATTTTAATTTTTGAAGTTTAGAACCTTTTAAATTCTCAAATTATAAATTATATTATTCTAATTAAATGAGGTATTTAAAGCTTGAATAGTAAAGTTTAGAACCTTTAAACCTCTCAAGTTACACAAAATTTAATTAGTATAATAAATTATTGTTGTAATTAATGGAATATTTAAAGATTTATTTAATTATAAAACTTAGCGCTCATCTATTTTTCCATTACCAACTTGGCACTTCAAATGGAGATATGTAAGCAAATTTGCTGTTATTTTATATATTTATGTAGATTGTTTGTCAAAAATTTTAGTAACGTCGTAGTTGCTATTGAAATTATTACATTAACATGAATATATTATTTTCTAATTTATTTTTTATATAAATAAAAATTATTTATATTATTTTCTAATTTATTTTTTATAATTAAAAATATTAATTAATTTTTTATAATAAATATATAAATACTATTGTTAAATAAAATAATTATATAAAATATTAATTTTAAAAAAGAATATTGTAAGTATTTATTTTTATAAGGTTAATATATACATATAAATGCTGATTAACAGCTAATCAGAATTTATATAAAATATCAACTGGTACTAGTTTTTTTTCTGTTTTATTTTCTATTTTTTATATAATAATAATATTATTAAGCTATTTATAGCATTAAAAACTTGAGAGTATAATGATGTTTCAAATTGATAAAATAATAAATTGATGAGGTCATAATTGATGGTACAAATTAAGTTAAAAAAAAAATCCAAAGAGCTAATAGAAAAAGAGAAGAAATTTTACTATGTAATGTGAAAATTTTAAATTGTGCACGACAACTACATGAACCTTAGAGAGTTAGAAAAACAAAATCAAGAAAAAAAAATAATATATTACAGTTTAGGACAGGAATAAATACCATTAATAAAATTGAACCTGCTGTCATAAAATATTAGATGCTATTCCTAACTCTGTTTGTTATATAACCAAACTAAAACCGTTTGGTTTTTAGTTTTTGGTTCCATCATTGTATATAACTAACTGAATTAATTTTTAAATTTAAAATAGTTAATTTGATTTAAAATAACCGATCTAAATCGAATTAAACTGATTTAATTCGGTTTAAATAAATTATTATATTATTCGGTTTCAGATTTATATACCGTCAAAATATATTCGGATAAATCGCTGATTCGATTTGATTAACTAAATACTTACTCCTAAATAGTGCTGGGAATTTGTAAAAAAAAAAAAATGTGGATGAAGAAAATCCCATTTGAAAATATTAAGCTTAAACTAATAAGCTAGAGACACGTACAGTTTGGCGCGAAAAAAAAATAAAAAAAAAAAAAAAAAAGGATTTGAAGAATATTCCTAGTTATATTGTAGATTTAATTAATTTGGGAATTTATTATTTGAACAATTATATATGCAATTGTTCTTGTTGTTGCATTTTGTCCTTTACAATGGTGATCCCTTTTTTTTTGGGGTGGAAAAAGCAATTATTATAAATCCAACAAGCAACAACTTCTTGGGGACATTGTTTGAAACTTTGAGTTGTCACTTCTAAGTTCTATCTACTTCTACTTCCCTCTAAAAGAAGCTTTTGCTCATTAGCCTCACCACACAAGTGTCAGGAAGGGGAACCCCAGCCCTGGCTCCACCAAAAGATACCTTTCTTTTTTCCCCCCTTTTCTAATTTCTTAATCTATCTACCAACGTTAGAGGAGCTTTCTTAAATATAACATTATTCATGAAACTATACTTATGTTTATAAATTTCTTTTCCAAACATATTAATTAGTATTAATTTTGAAATTATTTTGGTTGATGAGTTTGTTTTTAAAAAATGTTTTAAAATTTTAAACATTTGACTTATTCAATCTGTTATTTTGGTTTATCACGATGTGATGCTGCTGGTGTTGTTTATTTTCACTCTTGTTTTGGTTAGTTGTTCTTATTAATCTCTTTTTTGTACCAAAAAAAAAAATTATGATTTATAAAGTGAGCATACAATTTATTCGGTTCAAATTGAATCGGTTGTATAAATTGAATAAGTCGATTTTTTTTATAAAGAAAACCAAATTGAACTGAATTATGAATTAAACCAAACTGAAAAGTTAAATTAATTTGATTTTTAGGTTTTTATGAAATTTAATTGAGCCAAAAAATTTCTATTTTTTTAAAACTCGAACTAAATTTCTACGCAATTCACGGCAGTTGCTCAGCCTATCCAGAAAAAGAAAAATGTCAAACTAACTTGTATTTCAGAAAACTGATTTTGAAAAAATAGAATAAATTTTTAAATTTATTTATTTTATCAACAAGTTTTTTCATAATCATTTAGAAGTTTTACGTTTTTTTTTTTAGATTTTGGAATCAAAAACTATAGTTTACATCTTTAGGTTCAAAAACGAATTTTTAATTATAAATACTAAAAGTTTGCAGTTGAGGATATATGTGTTAATGACTTGTAATTCTTTTTTTTTTTTTTTTTTTTTTTTTTTTTTTTGGCTTTACCAAATGCTCTCTCTCGTTTTTTTTTTTTTTTTTTTTGGCTTACCAAATGCTCTCTCTCGTTGAAAAAATATTCAACTGTTGGAATCAAATACTCAAGTGAGATAAATACTTAATTAGTTGGTTTAACTATATTATTGTAGAGCACATTGTCAGGGTCTTCTTTATGTTTTAAATTCCCCTTCAAATGATTTTTCTGAATTTGGTATGGTAGTCAAGGATTGTAAAATTTCTGTAGCTTCTAGCTAGATTTAATATTGCTATTAGGTGGAATAAAAGACAAACGAATATATGAGTTCATACATTAGCTCGAACTTTCTATAACCATGCTCGTTTCTTGGTGTGAGTCTATACAACATTGCTTGTTATCCTTTATGAATCTTAGTGCATTTTCTAGTTTGCCTTCAAAAGAAAAAGTTTATATTATTGTAGAGGATGAGTAACACCCATTTAACCTGAGGAGTATCTAGATTTAGGATTTATTTGGTAAAATTAATTGTTTTGGTAGGTGTTAGCTGTTTTAGTAATTTTTTATAAACGCTAAAAGCTAAATGTTACATGAGTTAATTTTTTATAAAATGACACCATAACCTCTAAAAGTTAACTCAAACATTATATTACCAAATAACTTTTCGAGCACCGTTTAACATTTTGACTGCCTAACACAGCCTTAAAGCGTTGAAAGTTAAAAGTAGAATAGATATAGGTGACATCCCCATGCTATAAGTTAGATCCATCCCCTACATTCACCATGTGATAGGAGTTTTCATTTATATAACAAGAAAGTAAGGAAGGATAGACTATGACTCTTGTGACATCCTCATGAATTTTTTTTTTTTTTTAAAAAGGTAGTTTAATAATAGTGGGTCTTTTTCATTTGCTATATTTTGAAAGTGTAGATATTATTTCTTCTCTCTTCCAAAAATCCAACTAAAGTAAGATCTAAAATCTAAGTAAAAAAGCTTTATAATCTACCATAAAATTTCCATCCCCACCACCACATATATGATTCAAACATATGAAAATTTTTGGGGTGGGGAAGGAAAGCACATTAATCTTATCTTTATGATTCACTTTTTTTTTTTTTTTTTTTTTTTTTTTCTTTACTTGAATATGCTTGCAAGTTGCAACCACCCAACTCACTAATCAATCACTGCCATTTCTATGTTGCCACATATGATTTTTCAAGAGAGCTATAATATATTATTCATTACGAGCAAGTCTTGCCTATACCGAGTATATAGGCTCAATCAATATGACGAAAATATGTTAGAGCGAAAAAAACAAAAGCATCTTTTCATTCAAAAAGAAATACTAAAAAAATTGTTTTAAAAATTACTTTTTCATCCATTGATTGAGTGTATAAGATTATATGTCTACTTTTGGTGTAGTTGGCATTCTCCTTTTTCAATGTTTTTATTTTCTCATTTTTTACAAATTTATAAAATTAATTACTTTATTTTCTTAGAAATTTTTTGTTGAATGATTTATTTATATGTTATACTATGATTAATTAATTAATATGTATTTACAGATAATTGTTAAAATTATTAAAAATATCTTTGGACTGTGTTCTTTATATATTTTTGTCTTTTCATCAAGTTTGAATCTATGATCATAGTTATATATGTATAGGCAAATATATATATATATGTTTCCTTCCTTAAATTGTTTTGTTGCGTGGAGAGTGAATTTATTTTTAATTCTTAATTGCATGTTACATATATATTGAAAAGTGTTTGTTAAATGGTATTATGACAATATGTGTAGCTATAATGCATTTTAAATAAATGGTGATTTATAAATTGAATTAATAAATATATATATATATATAAATATAATATTATAAAATTGTTTTATTAATTAATTAGCCTGCTTGTTAATCTCAATACAAAATCATATTTTAATTAATCTAAGAATATAAAAAAATTATAACTAATATTTTAATATTATAAAAAAATGATGAAAGAATATAAATAATAATTAAAAAACGAGTAATGACAATGTGCAATGTATGTCATAAAAGAACTTATTTAATCAAAATACTATGAGGCCCCTGACTTAAGTGCCAAGTCAAATCCACTAAAATGATCAAAATGCTAATTTGGATTAGGTGCAAAGAGTGAAAACCTATTTTTTCTAATTGCTTTCTCTTTAAATATAAGTTGCCACTTAATTTTTATTATAGGGTAAATCAAAAAAAAAAAAAAAAAAAAAAACAACATCTCTAATTAAGAAAATTAACACTCATCATACGGAAAAAAAAAAAAAAAAAAAACATCTCTAATTAAGAAAAATAACACTAATCATCGGAACCAAAGAGAATAGGGGACTAGGTTTTTAGTTCAAAACTATTATTTAATCCGCCAAAGTTTAATGCTTCATCAAAATTAAAAAAAAAAAAAAAAAGAATTATAAGATGAAGAGAATGACAATTATGATAAAGCAAGTAAACAAAGCAATTAAAGGAAAAACGGTAAATTGAATTAAACAAAGAAGAAAGATGGAGAAATGCCTCTAGTCCTTTTTGGAATTTTAGAGTAACTAGACTTCTTCCAATTGAAGAGATAAAGAAAATAAAGAAAAGAAAAATGGAAAAAAGAAGGTTTTTGGTAGATTTGGTTCGCAGCTCGAATTTTATAATCGAGTCTGTCTATTTATCCCTTTAAATGAGAATCAGAACTAATCGATTCTATGTGTTATTAGGGTCGATCTATTTTAATTGAGAAAAATTGATTTTATCTTTCAATTACTTCTCGTCCTAAAAAAATATTCTCACTTTCCATAACAAGTGTTTCAAAATAATAGTCTCATTTTTTTTTTTAGAAATGGGTTAACTTTCCTATAATACCCTTATAATATAATTTGGGCCAATAATTAATATCCATATTGCTAAATATTTAATCAAATATGAATACAAAGTAATATAAAGTAATTGAAACATGTGACGAACTATTAATTTTTTATAAAAAAATTTTATAAAAAATTTTAAAATTTAATAAAAAAATTATTAATATAAGGGTATATATATATGTAAAAGAAAGATAAATATTACGGTTGAACTAATTTAACTATCCATTCTTAATTTTTGCGAAAATGAAGTGAGACTATTGTTTTAGAACGGGGTAGTATATATTTTGCCTTTAGGTGCCATTTTTATATGGAAAAAGAATGAATTTTGCTTTTGATAACTAAGTTTATATTAAAAAAGAAAAACAAAAAGAGGTAGTTTGGCTTCTAGTAGCCGAAGAAGGAGGGAAAAAAAAAAAAAGAAAGAAAACAATGCATCATTAAAGCAAAAGCTTAAATTAGAAGAGGAATAAAAAAGAGAACATACATTGGCCTTGAGTGAGTTTGCGTCACGGACCGGCTCGGCTTCTTCTTTCTAGTTTGAGTAGCGAGCTGAAGACCTTCCCATCTTGGAGCTTCAGCTTGAAAAAAAAATTTAGACTTATAGAAAACATAAATGAGCTAAGACAAGATTCGGCTCTCCTTTTATAACATGCATTAACGATTATAATTTGTTTGCACAGTCAATATGGAATTTTACTATATATTTAAATAATATTTCCACACTGACTCTATCTCGTGCTTATACATTATAGAAAAAGTTAAAAGTTTGATATACGGTTATAACTATTCTAAAAATAATAATTTTCAACTTGTGGAAAATTATATTTTTAAAATCGTAGAAAAAGAAATTGAATTTTTAAGGCCAAGTGAAGCGCTAGCCACTCTTGTGTCTGTCATTTCAGCTTCAGCTGTGTTGGGTTGGAGATGGAGGTTTGAGAAAGATAAGCTTGTAAAAGGTTGCATCTTTAACTGCAATTAATTATTGCTGGTTCTGCAAAATGCTGCCTTTTGGAGGCCAGCTCTAGGAAATCTTTCCACGTTACCTTTTTGGGAAGCTTACGCCCCATGAAACTGTCTACCTGGGACCCGTAGGTCTTGGCATAAAGTTAGAATTATAAAAACTGTCTATCTGAGACCCCGTAGCTCTTGACAATTCTAGCTCTTTCAAAGTAGTATCTCACTCACTGATGAGTGATGGCAGGCCTTCTTCGCCTCCCACCTAAGCTTTTATTGCATTTTTCAATGCCCATTGCTGGTTCTGCAAAATGCATGGTCATACAAAAAACGCTTGTTGGTGTTCTGTCAGCTAGAGACCAACCAAGGTAGCAGAGACGTGAAGTTACTGTTTTTGGCCTCCCATTAGAGTCCAGTTAACCATTATAACTAGAACCATTAGGAAAAACTTACCAACTAGCATTGATGGGGTGCGCCTGGCCCGCACAGCACTGCAACGCATGGGCGACACTCGAGGACCCCAGTAGCAAGCTACTGCAGTGGGCTCTCCTCTTAAAAAAATTAATTTAATATCATGTGAACCAATGGTCCACGTAGTAGATATTAATTAAACTGATAAGAACAGATACTACACTCGATCTTAGCCAAAAGGCCGAGAAAGGTATGCTTGTTTCCGTAGCTCGTTTTCCCTTTTATTACTCTTGTCAGCTTAGCCAGTTTAGCTTGTTTTCGATGTAGGATTTACCATAGCAGCTCATTTGAATTCTGTTAATGTATGGAGTATAATGTTGGGCTTTGGCTTATGGTTTGCGAAGAAATAGAGTACAGCCCACGACCAAGAGTTCATAACAAATTAGTTCTATATTTTACTGAAAATTTCACCTCGTTTAAGCCTCCTTTATTTTCGGAAAATAACTTTTCTTTGAAAAAAATATTTTTTCAAATAATTTATTTCCGTTATTTGATTGCAATATTGCAAATTAATTAAAAATATTAAACCTTTTAATTTATAAGACCATAAAAATATTAACAATAATAGAAATTTCATATTTTAAAAATTTTATTGTTAAATATGAGAAAAATGCAAAAAAAAGAGTAAATTATGAAAGTTGTCGGTGACCGCAGGTGGTGATGAACAGTGGCTGATGGTAATGACTACTGATGATTAATAAATTAAAAAGTATAGATTTATAAGGTTATAATAAATTTGTCAATATCCAGAAAATATTTTACTCTTCTTGAAAAAAAAAAGTCATTTTCTTTAAAAATGACTTAATTTTCCTTTGATCAGTATAATATTTTTCATTGATTTATTTTTTTAATGCCCAAATAATGAAAAATTGTAAAAAATATTTTATTGCAAGTTGTTTTACGGAACCGGATCTTAACAAAGCTCAGGATCCACCCTTCTATGCTAGATATTTAATAAAATTTTAGTGATGATCTTTTATAATTAATTTGAGTACAATTTTTTACGACAAGGTATTACAAGAGAGAGAAAAGTGTGATTAATTTCTTAAAGTTATCTACAAAATGTAACAAGTTAAAGTAATTTATTAATATTCTCATTTTTATTGATTGAAATAGATTTATTATTCTAAAATAACTTGTAACAAGTTTGGTTGAGTTGGTTTATTCGCAACAAGTTCGGTTTTTAATTTACTTTGATTCAAATAAAAGTTTTAATAAAATTCAATCGAGCTTATAACTAAGTAGATACTATAAAAAAACTAAAAAATCAATTGAGTAGAGCCAGTTCGATTCAATTTTAATCTTGCAAAATTTGGTTGCGCAATGCAATTTTTTAAACTGATCCAACTATTTGCTCAATCCAATTTGTAAGCGATGAGCCATTCAGATTTTGTAAATGAATATATTTAAAGGGATGTATTGGATTAAGACTCTGTTGGATTTTAAAAGATTTAAAATGTCAATATTATTCAATTTAGATTTTTGGAGTCTATGAAAATTTTGTGGTATTCAATTCAGACTCTTATAAATACCACAAAAATCTGATTGTATTCAATTATGATTTTTAAAAGTTCATACAAATTTGATAGTATTCAAAAAATTGCTAATTTAGAAAGATTTTATAAAATTATTGATTTCGTTGGATTTTATAGTGCCAGCTATGAATAAAAGTGTTATTTACAAATCCATCCTCCAACCCAAAAATTTCAAAAAATCTTTTAAAGTCTAACAGAATCTTAATCCAATATACCCTCTTAATAAGACAAAAGCAGGGTGGACCTGCGAATTTTAAACTACCTGTATATGTATCTGTTTAAAATTTTATTATTTGTATCCATTCTAAACTCATTTAAATATCTATTTAAGTACCTGTATTCGAATCCGTTTAAATTTTTATTATCCATAACCGTCCAAAACCTGTTGAAAGAACCTCCTAAACTGGTAGGGTACCGCAAATCTTTATTAACTAAATTCAAAGTTATTTAAAATACATTTTTTACTAATAATGGATAGGGTACCCACTACCGAACCCTTTTAATATGGCGGTTAATAAGTAGCGGGTATCTAAAGATCTATACTTGTACCCTACTTGTATTCGTTACCAGTAGTAATTTCACTACCCATATCCATTACAAATAGTAATTTCGCTATCCATATTCATTCCAAACCGATTTATAATTATCCATATCCTCTTTTAAAGGATCAGAAAGGAGTGGGTACCTAAAGTACCCGTACCGCTTCCATCCTTATCCCTTAAAGTGTAAAACAATGTATTAATTTCAAATTAATTCATGTGTTGAGAATTTGATATTTTGACAATAATTAATATTAATATTGTTGTAAAATTTTCAGAATTAATTTGATTATTTTTTGAAATTTTTTCTTTCAATTAAATAATGATTTAATCATATAAAAAAAATTAGAAAAGTTTGAAACAGTCGAAGAACTGAAGAATACAGTCTGCCATTGTTGTGGCCGGATCACCACGCTCCATGAGCCGCAGGTGGCAGGCTGTACTTTGGGCCTATCTCGATGTGCACCACGTTCTTGGGCAAGTTTTGGCAACCCGCGCAAGTCCTTGCTAGTGGTGGTTGCCAGTTTTCGTTTTAAATATATATATATATATATATAATCTACAATTTTCTGACGAGATGGTTAGCGTTCAATCAAGGGACGAGAAGTCTACGGTCTTTCGACCATATCACAACTGTTCTAGGAGCGCGAGATGGCCTTCGACGACGCTGGTCATTGTAGGTCTTTCACTGTCGACAGTGTTAAAGGTTTTAACGAAGAAAAAAATGATTTTGGAAAAGATGATGCATTTTACTTTTTGGTCCCTCATTGTTTTTCAATTTTTTATTACACTCCAAAACCTTTTAATTTGTTCAATTATGCATTGAAATTAATTTTGATTGGCTATATAAAAATCTTGTAATTTCATCAAAGTCAATTAAGATCTATAAAAAAAGTTTCACTAATTCCATAAAACTCTATATAGGATTCTAGTAAAATTTGTGAAAATATTAGAAAATCTTTCAATTCCATCAAACTTAATAATTCTTTTAGAATCTAACACAATCTTAATCCAATACACCCTGTAATTCAACAAATACTTTTGATTTGGAATGTTGCATATTGCACGTATCTTTAGTCTATTTATTTTTGACACTTCTATATTATGACACACATATATTTATCAGCTATAAAATAATTATATAATAATTTATTTTATGATGATTTGTATATAAAGTAATTTATGTTTCAAATATAAAAGTTTAATTTCAAAAAAAAAAAAAACTCTTAAAAGTTAAACACACAGTCAATAAATGAGTATGTTAGAATTATAAATAGTAAGATCGGACTGCATTTAAGCACAATTGCTCCATGAACCTTGAAAAGAATTTTTTTTTAATAAAAAAGAGTTGAGGGTAGAGTATTTGGAACTAAAATGAATATTGTGGTTAACTCTCCACAAAAATAATAATATTTGAGAATGTAGATTTTTAATCCTAATAATAATTTTTCCTATTTATTGACAACGAAATATATTAAATAAAAATATAATAATAAACTATAAATATTATTCACTTAAAAAAAAAAAAAAAACATTATTAAATAAAATATAATAATAATAAAACATAAATATTATTTCACTTAAAAAAAAAAAACAAACAGAAAAAAAAAAAAAAAACAGGACAACATTTTAAGACGGATGAAGAAAAAAAAAATAGGACAAGTTATGGGAAATGGCGTAAAATAAAATTTAGACATTTTAATACATTAAGGGAAAATTATAAACGTGTTCCCATATTATGTAAAATTAATTATTATTTTTCTATATTTTTTATAATATACTAATTTATCCGTATATTTTAATTCCGTTCAAATTCTGACCTTCCGATAATATTTTTTATTTTTTCATTAAATTTAGAGAAAAATTTTGAAATATCCTCTTGTCTTCTTTCCCCTTCTTGTTTGTTCTCTCTCCCTCTCTCTCTCTCCTTCCCCTCATGTCTCTTTCTCATCAATAAATTTGTAAACAAAAATAAAAACAAATCTATAAATAAATTAAGGACCATATATACACAGAGTGTATATAGGAAGAGAATCGGACAAAGAGTTGTTAGCAGGGAACAAATCTTTCTTTATGATGTGTATTCACGAGTCTCCTGTAATGCAGAATTTGCAAGAGAAAGCCAATATTTTAATGCAGATTATTGCTGCTCATCATGTAAGTTGAACTTGATTTCCATTTCAAATTCGCATTAGCTGTGGCCAGATTTATATTTTCATTATGTTGGTAAGCTCTAGGTTATCTAAAGGACAAAATTTATAATTTATAGACCATGGATATCAATTTTTTGCTCTTGTTTTTCTGATAAAATTCTCAATTGGAGGTGTATGTTGAATTTTCAGGAGTAGAGATGAGATTTGCAGCTAAGAACCCATTTTGATTTTCTGTAAGTGAGATTATTTTCATCTTGATATCGTTTGACAATGTAGATGTTTCCATTGATTGGTTAAACGGATATATATGGTAGACAACACAAATTTAATAGGGAGTTAAGAGTATTTGTGACCTTTCACAAGCCTTTTAATGGAAAAAAATTGACAGAATGACAAAATAGTTGGAAGGAATCAAAATATAGAAACAAAGTAGTGTATTTTAAAAAATATGGAAACATAATAGTTAATTTTGGCATAATGTGGAGATACATTAATCATTCTCCTGCATTAATAAGAAATTCATAAATAAATACTCCCCCCTTCCACTTTAATAACAACAAATGAATATTTTATACAAATGAATATTTTATTTTGTATCACTTTAAGTGTTCATCTAGGATTTTGAGAGTATATTAATTATTTTTTTTCTAATTTTTTTTTCTAATTTTACCCATATATTTATGAGTTAATAGCTACAAATGGACATTTTATCTTGTTCCACTTTAAGTGCTCATTTAGGATTTTGAGAGTATATTAATTATTTTTTCTAATTTTACCCATATATTTATGAGTTAATAGCTACAAATGGACATTTTATCTTGTTCCACTTTAAGTGCTCATTTAGGATTTTGAGAGTATATTAATTATTTTTTCTAATTTTACCCATATATTTATGAGGTGTTTTTGTAGTAAAATTAATGGAGAATTTTTAACTTTAAGAATGACAATTTAGACATTCTATCATATATTTTTAGAAAATCAATATATTCCAATCATTTTTTAATCTTGTCAAAAGATCAAATGTTGCTACTAAAGTGGAATGGAGAGAGTATTAAGGAAAAATAATTGTCAAGTCCCTCAGGTTTGCCATAATTATCTAAGTATTCCCTGACATTTAATATAATATTTTAGTCATCCCTCAGTTTGCCTCCGTCTAATTAAATCATCCTTTTGTCCTGTTTTGGGTCTTTTTGCAATTAAAGTGAGGCTAAAAGACAAAAAGGACCCTATGACTGACATGGATATCTTCTGGAATGCAAAGGACGAAAAACGAGTAGTCAATCTCCTTCTCCAAACGAAAACAACAGTGAGAATCGCTCTCTCTTTCTGGAACTAGAATGTTTCGTTGATGAATTAATCTTTGTGCTTTCACTATTTCGAAGTGCTTTTCGGAATTAGTCGCACATTTTGGGTTGGGAAGATAGGAATCGACACGTTGCTTCTTAGGTAAGACTTGCTCAAACTTGAACCACTTTATTTCATTGGGTCCATTAGTTTTCGCCCCCGTTGTTTGTTTTTTTGATTGATTTTGTGTTGAGGTGATCAAAAGTTGATTTGGTTTTGTATTTGTGAATGTCAGTATCAAAGTAGGGTTTTATGAAATGTTAAAAATTTAAGTTTTAAACTTGATAGTTAACTTGCTTAAACTGAAGTCAGTATGAATTTTTAATAAAAAATTATTTACTGTTAGGTTAACATAGATGGATATGCCTGATAGTTTCACGATTGAGGTAACATATAAGGGAGGCACAATATATCTATATGATGTTCAACCTGATAGAATGTCATACATTATCCTGTTACAAAATGTTTGCAAAGTTCATCATTTAAAAGATGGGAATGTGGAGATCATTTGTTCATAACACTACACCATAGATAAGGATGCTGATGTAGATTTGATGTTTGAAAGATATAAGGAGACTACATTTGCTCCATTACGTTTGGAAGATAGGATACGTCCCATGACTGTTATTATGCCACCAATTAACATTAGTCAAGTGACAATACTATGGGAGTTCAAAATGAAAAACCAAAGGTTGTAGAGGTTCCTGAGGATAGGGTTGGAGAGGCAAAAAGCATCATTGGCTCTCGAACTGAGATGAGCAGGGACCTTGGTGGTATGAATGATGTTGTTAATGAAAATGTTGATGGGGGAAGTGCAAATGGAGGGGCTAGAGGTAGAGGGTTGAAATGTTGTTTGGTTCACAGATATGGGATAATGTTATGGCTGAGGAGACTGAGTATTCATGTTAGGTGAGGGGTTTAGGCAGGGGCAAGGGAAGGGGGAGGGGGAGAGGGAGAGAAAATGTTGAGGAAGTCAACAGGGATAAGGGAAATCAGAATAGAGCAATATATCTCATAAATTTAGGCAAAGAGTTGAACATGAAGATGTTGCAAATGATGATTACGAGGGAGATGAGATGGTTGCTGATAATCAGTCCATAAGTGATGAGTATGAGCTCTCTGGAAATGAAGATGACAATAGTGAATCTCAGCAAACTGGGGATGTAGAAGTTGAGAAAACAATGGTGAATGAAGATGATGATGATGATGCTGATGATCTTAGTTATATTGATAGTGACAAGGAAATCTAAGCTTCAAGTAGTGATGGTGAAGAGGCAGCCCCTAGAAGGAAGAGAGTTAGAAGGAAAGTAAACCCCTGGAAGAGAATTTATGATAACATTTTCAAAACCCCTTATGAAGGTGATAATGAATTCAGAGTAGGGCATGCTTTCATGAATGTTGAGCATTGTGGAGAAGCTTTGAGAGATTATTTTATGAGAGGAGGTACCTAGTTGGCGTGATTAAGACTGATAGTGAGAGTGTAACAGGTAAATGTAAGGGTGAGGGTGTCCTTTTAGATTTCATATTAGCTTGGCTCTAGACAGGGTTATATTTTGTTGTAAAAACATTACAGCCTAAGCATACTTACATTAGGTCAATAGGTAACAAGAATCCAAATGTTACAACTAAATGGGTAAGGAAAAAGTTAGACCACAGTTAAGTGCTGATCCATCTATGAGTTTTGAGTTAATGAAAGTTGAGTTGCAGGGAAAATGGGGTATTGAGCCTTAATATTGGCAACTTCATAAGGCAAGAACTGCTGCTAGAGAGCAAGCAGTAGAATCACATATGGAGAGTTATAAGAAGTTGCATGAGTATATTGCAAATCTTCAAAGGTCCAATCCAAGCACCTTCATCAAATTCCAGCCAATGCTAAGGAATAGTTTGGATGATCCATTAGCATTTGGTTCCATGTTCATATGCTTTGAAGAAATGAAAGAGGGGGTTCTTAGAAGGGTGTAGACCTTTAATAGGACTAGATGGGTGCTTCCTTAAAGGTCCTTTTGGTGGGTGTTGCCTAAGTGTTGTTACCCTTGATGGAAATAATAGTTTTTTCCTTTTACCATTTACCATTATTCAAAATGAGAGTACTAGCACTTGGACCTTCTTCCTTGACTATCTTAGACAGTGCATTAGCCCTGGAACTACAAAAAAGCCATGGACATTCATTTCAGATAAATAAAAGGTAATCTCTAACTTCTATTTTTGGAAAATCAATCATTCTTTTCGATCTATTAAATCAATCACTTACTCTGATTCTTTGTGCATAAGGATTGCTTGAGGTGGTAAGGACCCAATTTGAGAGGTCCCTTCATAAATATTACTGCCAACACTTGCTTATGAACTTTAAAAAGCAATTTCCAGGCGTAATGTTGAGGAAGGAGTTCTGGATGGTAGCTAAGTTCAGCCATGTTTATGCATTTAAGAACACATAAAGAATATTGAGTCAAAAAATAAAGGAAAGCCTACAAAATGGGTATTAGACATTCCTTTGTCACATTGGTGCAGACATGCATTCCATGAATCTGCTAAGAGCATTAATGTAACAAATAATATGACAGACAGTTTCAATATTTGGGTAAGGAAATTGAGAAATAAGCCTATAGTGGAGCTAATAGATAGCATTATATAGAAGTGTATGGTTAAACTTCACAAAAGGTTTGCAAGAGCTACTAGTTGGGAAGGAAGAGTCACACCAAAATGCAAGAGTGCATTAAACAAGATAACTGAAGAATTCAGGATTTTGTAAGATGCTCCCAAGTAACAATGAAGAGTTTGAGGTGAGAGAGGGGCCTATTGTTTTTGCTGTGGACTTGGGGAAAAAGACTTGCACTTGCAATTACTGGGCAATCTTAGGTATGCCATGTAAACATGCAAGTATTATAGCAGGCTATAGGAGACTGAATCTTGAGGATTTGTGTGATGAATATTTCATAGTAGAGAGATATATGAAGGCATACAAGGGAGTGATTCATCCAATCCCAAACTACAACTTACCACATGACACTCAATTCCCTATTGTGAATCCTCCAAACCTAAAAAGAAAGCTTGGTAGACCAACGAAGAGGAGAATCCTTCAGGAGGGTGAAGCTATCCAAAATACAGCAAAGAGATCTTACACTGTTAGATGTGTGATATGCAAGCACTAGGGCATAATAAGAGAACTTGTGAGAAGGCCCCACCAGTGAGCTCTCAGGTCAAATCCTAAACTTTATGATTTCTAATATTTATTATGTTTGTTGAATTAAATATGAGTTGCTATGTTTCTATGATGATGCATGTTGATTTGTGATATTTGATGGATATTACACTTTCTTTATCAAAGAAGCGAGCAATTTGTCAATAGAGGAGGCAAAAGAGCAACTATTGCTGTTAGGAGATGAGCTGAATTTGCTAGTGGATCCGCACATAGAGGACTTGCTGCTTCTACGGCAAAAAGAGTTGTTGTTGCTGCTAAAAATCTGCAAATTATGTTGCTACTAAGATTGGATCTACAGGTGTTTCTAGGCTTGGAGCTCCAGATGTTGCTACTGTTAGAGGCTGTTCTTGATTTGGTTCTGCAATTATTTTTTATTTAGGAATCTGCATTCGTTTATTTGTGAATCTATAGTTGGTTTTTTGTGATGGTTTTTTTAAATATGCAGTTGATTTTTTTAAAGCCTATGGCATTTTTTGTTCATTTAAAAACATGAAGAAGGTTGAAGATATGAAGATATAGTGAAATAGGGGATATGGTATTTATTTTTTATTTTGTGTAAAGCATATGCATATGAAATCTTTTCTTATTTGTATCTGTCTTCCTGTTGGCAGTTAATGTGTTACAGGAAACACTCAAGAGCAAGTGGACCATTTTAATCTTGAGTTCTTTTTGTAAGGCAAATTATTAAAAAAGGTTGAAGACCATTTTTGTGACTATAAAATATTTGATTAATGAGAATGCAATGATTTTTATATATTATCCTTTACTGTTATCATGTTTGTTACTGATTGTTTTTGTTAATCTATTTCATATCAGTGTGCATTTCTTATTCAAGTAGATGGATAATATTCAATTTTCTAGAAAAAGGTAGATTGCATTGAATTGAATACATTACATTCATTCAACTAATTGCCTACCACATAATACGTCCCCCACAAAAAGGTATCCAACAGGTCACCGCTCTTAATAAAAAAAAAAAATGAAATCTTTGGTCCCTTTCCTTAATTAATCTTGCAAAGCAAAATTACAAAGAAAGTAAAGAGCATCATCATCGCAATTAAGCATATGAAAATCAACTTCTTCAAGCTGCCTAGCTCAAGCTCTAAGCACTCCTTTCTTCCTCCAATCCTCATCATCTCGTTTTGCATTGTCAGCAATCCAGCCTTCAAATACAATGTCTCCTTCTTCAACTCAAACAACTCAGTATGAACACTTCTTTGTCTCACTTCAGAATCACTTCCTTAAGGTCGATCTACTGAATCTATTGCCTTACACTATCCAAGAAACAAACCACATGCATTATCAAGACAACAATAGTACAATCGATTTTTGTTCTTTTGTGCTTCGGAGATCATAATCCCAACTTTTTTCCCACACTTGCAGTAGATATTAAGAAACCTTCCTTTCCCATGGCCCATCCATTGTACTTGAACTTGACATTCTCTCCAGCATGCTTGAATCCCTATTTTTAGGTGATAATAAGATCTTGCTTCTTTTGATTTCTTTCTTCTTTAATAAATACGTTTGTCTTTAAGCAAAGGGTATAAAGTGTCATTTAAAAAGAATTATCTCATCTCTCTCTTCAAATTTGCCTCACTTTAATAGCAAAAAGACCCAAAACAGGACGGAATAATGATTTAATTAGACGGAGACAAACTTGAGGAATGACTAAAATATTATATTAAATGTCGGAGACTATTTAGATAATTATGGTAAATTTGAGGGACTTAATATTTATTTTCCCGAGTATTAATCAGGTGGTGCAATGAAGGTTTAAACCAGTTCACATTGTCCATCCTATTAGGGGTGGCCACGGTTTCGGAACCGACGGTTCCGGTTCCAAAAAAACTGGAACCGGAACCGAACCGAAAATTTCCGGTTCCAGTTCCGGTTTGAAACCGAACGGTTCCAGTTCCGGTTCCGGTTCTGGTATGGTGTCAAAATCGACGGTTCCGATCGGTTTTCCGGCAAATCGCATAATTTTAAATTTTAAATTTTGAAGGCCGGTTTTCAAAATTTAATAAATTTGTAAACCCGAACGGTTCCAGTTCCGGTTTCCGGTTCTGGTTAATGGTTGTCAAAAAATCGACGGGTTTCGATCGGTTTATCCGGCAAATCGCCATAATTTTAAATTTTAAATTTTGAAGGCACGGTTTTCAAAATTTAATAAATTTTGTGCAAATTATTTGTTTAAAAAAAAAATACACCTAAAAAATTAAAAAAATGGCTTCAATTAAATTTATTTTTGTAAAAGGCTGAACTTAATTATTTTTTAAAAAAAAATTTTCAACTGAATTTATTTTTTGTTTAAAAAAAGTTTGAACATATAAAAAAAAAAGGCTTGAACTTAATTTTTTTTTTTTTTAGGTATCCTCTTTGGGGTTTAGAGGAATTTCCAAACTCACGTAGTTTCTTACTTCTCAATTATTAATGGTTACAACTAAATACCCAAGCTGTATGTCCTCATGCAAGCAGGTCCTAAACTTGTCATGCAAATAAGTCCACTTACTCTCATTCAATCCAAATCAGGTTTGGTTTAACCCAACTCAACTCAAGAGGATGTTACAGCTCCAATCATCCATGCATGATTGTTCTTCTAGTGAATTGGGTGTCATACGAGATCGAGTTTCATCAAGTATGTTTTCCTCCTTTATTAAAAGCTTGTTCAACCGCAACAATGGAGACTGGAGCTGCTAAAACTTGTTTTGCAATTAGTGAAAGGGTTGGGAATGTATTGGCATGACGACTCAACCAATCTAAAATTGGAAAGTTATTATCTGCAAAACTAGCACCAAACTCAAAAGAAGTGGTAAGATAATTATCAAATTCAAAAAAAGAACCAGATTCCCTAGGTCTTTTTTGTCTTTGTAGTAATGTACGTTCAGCAACACCAACACTTACCCTTTCAGTTGGGAATGTTTGATTATTGAATTGAGAAGAATTAGAAGAAGTAGATAAACTAGAATATTGAACAAATAAAATTGAACAAATTCATTATATAATTCCATTAATATTTGCTTAACTTTCATTGCAATAACTACATTTATATTAACATTATCTCCTATATCAAGATTTAATACTTCATAATAAATAGTCAAATATTTCACATAAAACATCAATTTACATATCTAGGATAAAAAAACCAATAGCAAACAAGATAAAGGGGGTGATATATTTTTAAAAATTAAGATAACCATTTTTTTTTTATTGGAAAACCAAGTACAATCTTTTAATATACAAATCATTTTCAAATTCTGTTGGAGTGCACTAATAATATTAATACACATAAGTTAAAAATAAATGGAGATGTGAGATAATAAACCCCACTAAATTTATAAAGGAAATTTATAGGTAGCATCATTAAAAGTTTTTAAAATATCTAAAATTTTTGCACAAATATCTCAATTTTGTGGATATAAATTAATTTCTTCAATATTATTAGTAACAAAAATACACAACAATTCTTTATACGGAAAAGACTCGTTTAATAATTCATATGTTGAATTCCAATGAGTTGGGACATCTCTTGAAAAATGTTTTGGTATTTTATTATTTTTCTTACAAAATTTAGCCCAACTTTTCATCACTTGGGGATGTCCCCATAAATATGAAATAGATTTTTTAATTGGAGAAATATAAGATTCAAGAATTTTTAAACTATCTTGTACACATAAATTTAAAACATGGCAAGCACATCTTGTATGAAAAAATTTTCCAATTTTCACCAATATTTGGTTCACAAATATTTTTAAGTTCAATAATTGATTTAGTTAGTTTTTAGCCAGAAGGATTTATTCAAAGAAATTGAAAATCAAATGAAATTAAAAAAATTTTTTTGGTCAATTTATATTCATCTAAAATTGAAATGATTATTCTATAAATAGTATTTGCAGTATGTTTATCATCCAAAACACGAAATGCAATATTTTTTTTTTTGAATTTTCCAAGCATCATCAATGCAATGATATGTATACCCATATAAGAATGCATTTGCCAATGATCATGCCAAATATCACAACAAATTGAAACACGAATTTTAATTTCAGAAAATAAAAGTTCTAACTCTTTTTTTTCCTTTTTTATATAAAGAAATAATAGTTCATTTTACAATATTTCTTGGCACTCTTTTAGCAACAGGATTTAAAGTTTTTTGACAATATTGATTATCACCTACTTTTTCACCAAAATTAAAAGATAAATGTTCCATAGAAATTATTTCAGCTAATTCTTCTTTTTGTTGTTTTTCAGAATATTGAAAAAAAGAAATGTTAGAAGATACGTACCCAAAAATTTGTATTTGAGACCAATCAACTCCTATTTTTATTGATGTTTTGCTTTGTCTCCAAATGCTTCCAAAATGATCCATAGCTGTCCGCTTGTTTAAATTTATAAAATTTTTCACAATAATTGCAAATTACATCGTACATTTTCTCACCTTTGAATTTTTTCGTGAAATGAACGACGAATATGTAGGAACTTTGTCTTGCTCTTCCAACAATTTGTACTCGTTGCTCTTACTCTTGCTCTTCCTCTTCTTGTAATTGCTCATTATTAAATTCAGATTCTTGAGTTGGAATTTTCAAATTTTCATTTGGATATCCCTGAAAATTAAATTGGTTGGGAGTGAAATCAAATATGTCGTTTGTAGGGATAGATGAATATTTTGTTTCTCCAATCTTTCCCTTGCCCTTGCCAGAATTTGAGTTTCCTCCACTTGCCATTATATGATAATAAGATATAATTTGGAAAATTGAATAAAAAAAATTAGAGAGAATAATAACTTAATAGAGAGATTGTAGAGTAGAGAAAGAATTAATATAGAGTAGAGTGTAGTATATTGGTTAGAGAGAGTAAGGAAAGAGTAGAGATTTTTTTGTTGATGAATTTGTAAATGAAATGAGTATTTATAATAATCCAAAAAATTATTTTTCCAAAAATACCTTGGAAATTAGCAGTTTATGGTTGTGGAGGAGTAATTAAGAAGATTTCATAATAAATTTAAAAAAAAGGCAAAAAACTAACAGTTTCTAAAGGCTACAACCGCCCGATTCTAATGGGTGGAGAACCACGGTTCCATTCCGGGTTCCGTATAGAGTAGAGTGTAGTATATTGTAGAGAGAGTAGAAAGAGTAGAGATTTTTGTGTGATGAATTTGTAAATGAAATGAGGTATTTATAATAAATCCAAAAAATTATTTTTCCAAAAATACCCTTGAAATTAGCAGTTTATGGTTGTTGGGAGGAGTAATTAAGAGATTTCATAATAAAATTTAAAAAAAAAAGCAAAAAACTAACAGTTTCTAAAGGCTACAACCGCCGATTCTAATGGGTCGGAGAACCACGGGTTCCATCCGGTTCCGACCGGTTTGTTGGAACCGCCGATTGCGATTCTATCAAAACTGGAACCGAAACCGAACCAAAAATCTCCAATTTCAATTTCAGTTTGGACCAATTTCAGTTCTCACCGGTTTTGATTACGATTCGGGACCGGTTCAAACCGACGGTTCCAGTCCCGAAACCGTAATGTGGCCACCCTTACATCCTATAAGCGCTCTCTCGCACTTGCAGACCCAAATGCGCCGGCTTTAACGGTTCAGAATCTTTGCACCTCTATAAATGGAGTATATTTTAGTTTAGTATACTCTTTTTGTCCCTTACCTCTTGTTGTCTTCTTCTCTCTCATCTACAGCACGCTGAAACACTGGACTTACCAGGGACAGAGGAGAGATCTGAAATCTAAGCGATGGCAAGGACGTCGTCTTGGACAGCATCGTCGTCGAGAAAGAAGGAAGGATTAGGGTGGATAGAATGGTTAAGGGGATGGATGTATGTAATACATGAACTGCTGTTTCAGAGAATTATGGCTAGTCACTTACAAAACCCTCTTCCTTTGCCTCCCATTAACGACCTCACTTGCATTGTTACTGGATCCACTAGTGGTATCGGCTGTGAAATTGCCAGGTTTTGCTTATTTATATGTTTTAGCTTTCTGTTATATCATGCAATTTTTAAAGTTCGCATGTAATATTGAATGTTTTCTGGATCCTATTTTTGATTTTGCAGTTCATTTCTATGGGTCTTTTACATTTTCTGTGATTAACTAGAAATGGAGTTTTTAGAGAAAAATCTTTCTATAAGAGAATGTTAAAAGGAAATCGGAGCAAGTATTGCAATTTTTTTTTCTCTTGACAAGCAAAGCGCCATGAAAACTTGAAAAGTTTCCTTCTTTGCTTATATGGAAGACATCTTATTATCTAATTACCTCTTACCATTTAATTTTAACATTTGATAATTTGATAAATGGAGGAGATTCCTTGATTAGTAGAAAAATTTGGTGAATTGGTTAGATAGCGAATTATTTGCTTCTCCGTTTTCTGGGGTGAAAGATCTTTGTAATTTGGCGTATTCTAGTCTTTGGATTAACTGCATATATGTTATTTAAACAAACTAAAGATTGAGCTTTCAGTTTAGAGGTTGAATAAAGGAGGTAATTAATCCGACTCCCTTGGCCATTTTATGGAGAGCTTGTGAACTCATGGAAATTCATTATTAGTCGATGTATACTTTTAATTTGGGATCTCAGGAACTCTTATTGCATACATTTTCTTTTATTACCATAGAAAGCTTTTTATTAACAGAAAGATATGAATGTGATCTACAACCTATAAATTGTGTCTTTCAATTATCCCAAAACCTGATACTTTTGACATGTCAAGGTCAAGGTTTTGATCTTGAAAGTTTATAGAAGGTAAAGTCTGAGAGTTTGCTTGAAATTACTTTGGCAAATCAAAGTTGAGAGGGAGAGAATATAGGCTTTACACCTAGCATTCTTTGTCATTAAGCAAGGTCCCATTAGCCACTTCTATAGCTAGAGTAGGAGTCCAGAGACTGCTGAAAGCCTTAAAATTTATGTATATAGTAGACAATACTGTATTATAAGAATGTCCTTTTGTACTCTGAATAACTCCAGACCTAGAAGGGATATGCGCTTCTTAATTGGAAGGCACATAATCTACTACTCTGGCCTGGGGAACCTGTACAAACGCCTTACTTTAACGACTAATAGCATTGTCATTTTATCTATTTTCATAAACCAGGATATTGCTGTTGAATTGGTTACACTAATGCGTGTTTTTTTATTTGAATTGATTAGACTGATGCACATTCCTTTTGATTTCTTCTGCTATTATGTGTTGAAAAGTTTGCATCTTTATCATCTTTTTAACTTGGGGAATCTGCACTATTTATTTTTCTAGATGAACATAAAAGCGTTGTGTTGTAATTTTTTTTCCTTGATGGATTATTAGTAGCTTTTTTCTCCCATTGAAGGCAATTGGCAGAGGCAGGTGCCCATGTTGTTATGGCAGTGAGGAACCCAAAGACAGCACATGAATTAATCCTGAAATGGCAGAAGGAATGGTCTGGAATGGGCCTCCCACTCAATGTTGAGGTATCTGATAATTGAACCTTATCAATGCATTATATATGTCCAAATAGTGTTTTCATGGATTCATTTGCTAAAATGCGCTGTTCTCGTTTATAACTTCTAATGAGAATTTGACTCTTATTTTTGAATGGCAGAAGGTTCTTATAAAAAATGACAAATGAAAGTATATTTTTTTTATGTGTCTTGCAAATTTGAATGGTTCACATACTTTTATGGTTCTCAAGGTGATGGAGCTTGATCTTCTCTCCCTGGAATCAGTTGCAAAGTTTGCTGAAACATGGAATGCACGCTCAGCACCTTTACATGTTCTTATTAATAATGCTGGGATATTTTCCATTGGAGGTTGGTCCTTTTCAGCATTCTCCTATTGTTACATCAATGATATCCTTTTTTAATACTAGTACTTATTGCTATTGTATGTTTATAAATTACAATCTTCAGGCTTGTGAAGTAGATTGTGTGACTTCCAACCACCTGTTACAATTGAAATGTGCTACTTAGATGTATATTTTGATTTCAGACTGTCTGCAGAGTTCTATCTATTTGCTTTCTTTTTCAATTTCAAAGATGGAATAGTAATTTGTTGCAATGAAGCCATTCTAGGGCGAATACAACATAGCATTACAGGAAAGAGACTATGGTTGAGAACTAAAAACTTGGTTTGTTGTTCTTAATAAGGAGAATACTAATGAATTGTCATAAAAAAAGATGGGGCCTATTGAGGCTTTATTTGTTGCTTGGTGACTCAAATTGCAAGTGTATTTGGTCTCATTCTTCCTAAACTTACACTGTCAGTGTCATGTGATTCAGCCATTTGAATTGCTGTTTTAGTTTGTTTTATTTTAGTTTATTTTCTTAGGATAATTGGGTATCTCCAGAATTTGGAGACTTATTTTGATTTATCATTAAGAGAGTTTGGAGATAGAAGAGAGAACAAAGTTCTTTAGTATTGCATGCTCTTTTTCAATTACGGTGTAGTTTCATGGAGAGACCAGCATTTTTTAACTTTTGTTGTGCTTTTGAGGCTGAACAACAGGACTGGAGACAGTTGTTTTTTTTTTGGGCTCTTTTCCGTGCTTTTCATATTTTTGTTGATTAGGCAAAAGAATATCTTCTTTCTCCTTGTAAAATCTGTTCTGTCATCAAAAGTAAAAAAGGAAAAAATTGATTTCCTCTTATTGCAAGAAAGTGAAATAAGGGAAGCCAACTTCAGCAAATGGGTGGAACCATATTTGAAAACATGTCCTTATTTCTACATTAGATAAATATATTTAGAAGGCCAAAGTGCCTTTTAAATCAAGGCTTTTTACATGTCTTTCTCTCTTGTCTCACTTAAAAGATATTTCATCTCCCTCAATTTTCTTCCATATAATCTTGTTTTGCCTAAAGGAAGTTGTTGGAAAATGTTTTGCATGTATGAATGCAGTGAGAAAAAAAAAATGAATGGTGGTAGCAGGCTAGGAAAACAATAAATATGAAATTTTATGATTTCGTTTCTAAGTTCCTGCTTTCATTGCGTGCTCATCAATAAAGTGGTTGCTAAGCAACTCTTTTAGTTCTTTTCTGCTAATGGTTTGGATGATTTCTCAATTGAGTATAGTGCAGTTAATTATTGTTTTCATTTGCAATTACTAACAACCACTTATTAGTTCCATGGTCATGCATTTCATATCCATTTACATGACTAGAGTGTAAATAACTGATGCTAGGGTATTGTTGTATTCAGAACCACAAAAATTTTCAAAAGATGGATATGAAGAACACATGCAAGTGAATCATCTGGCTCCAGCATTGCTTTCAATATTGCTTTTGCCATCCCTAATTAGAGGCTCACCCAGTCGTATTATCAATGTGAATTCAGTTGTAAGTTTTATTATTAATGGAAATCTATAATACCTAGTTTCTGCTATATTGTCTTTTAATATTGATCTTGTGAGAATCTTTGGGAATTTACAAATTGTACTGACTATTGGATGCAGTATTTAGAAACTTGTGCATGACAGATGCAATATTAAATGTGCTTTTCTCCATTTTCTATTATGTTCAACAGCCTATGTTGTTATGGAAAATTGATTGAAGAAGGAATTTACTAAATGAGAAGCATGGGGGACTATACATATGCATTTAGAGTGGATTTTTTTAGAACAATTTGTGGACTCTTTCGTACAATTTACTGAAAGAAATGCTATAGCCTCAGTATCTAGTGAGTAGCAAGGGAAACACCCTGAATAAAGAAGGGGAAAGAGAAGGAAAAGCAACCAAACAATAGCAAAGCTATCAGAGTTGATAAAAATGGTCACATAAGAATACAATTTGGTTTGTCTTTCCATATTTTCAGATTGATTCAATTTACGAGCAGTAGACAGCCCATAAGCAGTTGCTACCATGACAGATGATCTTCTCCGGTATCACCAGTTGCCAAACTTCAACAAACTGCGTTATTGTATTTGGAAACACCCATCTATCCAAATAAAGAGAATGTAAGGGCCACTGAATAATGGAGCAAAACAAAAATTAATTCTCTCCATCCTACTTTCATATGAGACCAATTAAATAATTACAGTTCCTCACCAAATTGTCACCAGTTAGATTTTTTTTAGCAAGTGGCGCTAGTCCATCCAAAAAAAGTCATTTTCCTTGTGTTTCTATTTTTTTGCGTGCATTTTACATATAGTTACTTAACTGGCTCTTGAATGATTCAACTTATGACATCTAAAATTTTCTCATTCTGTACTAGCATACTCTTCTACATCTGGGAGTAGTTTAACATTTTTCTCTCATGCAGATGCATTATGTTGGCTTTGTTGACACTGAAGATATGAATGTTGTTTCTGGGAAGCGAAAGTATACAAGCTATGTGGGATACACTAGCAGCAAGTTAGCACAGGTACACTGCAGTCTTTATTCTCTTGACAGTTCATTCCAAAAAGTATTTTCTTCACAATCATGTGAAGGCTTTATTTTTGAAGAATTGTATATGCTACTGCCAAAACACCCATTTCAAGACTCTTACTCCAATTTCATTTCTGAGATAAATAAACGTATAACCTAATGCTACTTAGAAAGTTATTCTTAATCAGCAATCATCTTCACTTTAGTTAAAATGAGTCAAAACGCAGAGGCAAGATAAAAATTTGGATTCTTCCTGTCGCAAACTGAATAGTTTAATTCCACTCCATGTTCACATTACATTGCTATTTCGAGTTCGACAATTTAGTCCATAATAAAATGTAACAAGACATCTGTCTTAAGCATTTGTGAACACTAAGCAATGAATTTAACATGGTTGTTTTTGGATTGCAGATCATGTTCAGTAGTGTTCTTAACAAGCGTCTTCCTGCTGAAGCTGGCATTAGTGTAGTTTGCACATCCCCTGGAATTGTCCATACCAATGTTGTAAGTCTCTTGAGGAAATTCAATTTCTACTTTTATATTGGCAAAAGGACATTGCATGCAGGCATATGCATGGAGTTACTTCAACTCATATTTTGAATGGTGAAATGACTTGTATGCTTATTGCTATTACTGATATGCATGCAGTTACTTCAGCTCATATTTTGAATGATGAAATGATGGAATATTCTGCTCTAAAGGGTGAGCAAGGCTTTTTCTTGCAAAAGAAAGAGTATAGAGATATTTTTCTTCCAATAAAATGCTCATGCAAATTTAATTATTGACACAAAGGTCAACCTATTGTTACATGAACATCTGCATTCTCCACAATGACCAACATCTTCATTCTCCATAATAACCGGTTGTTATTTGTACTTTTTTTTTTGGACCAAAAACCAAATTAAATCTATTGATAATACTGGACCAAAAAAGACTTTAATCCAATTGTTAGTGTTGCCACTTTTCTAGTTTATCCATATATTGTTAAAATGCTTATACAAACCTAAATGACACTTGCATCATTAGTTACATTTAGAGACTTGGACGTGCTCTTCCGATTTGCTTTATGCTTTTCAGGGTTATCAAATTGAAATATAAAGCTCTGCATTGTACTTTTAATTTTCAAGTACATCATCTAAAATAGCTAATACAAACTAAACATTTTAACTAGAATTAAATTGAAAAGTCATAAAGGGTAAAGTTAAAAACAGTTAAGATATTAATTAAAATTTATACCGACAACATATAGTGTCTAAATCACACATGGTTTCATTGAAGTTGTGGTTTTATTTTTGTTGATATTTTAAGTTAGAGCTATTTTCTTTTCCTGTATTGGCAATATCTATTTATTCTCAGAAACTTCTAGAGAATGATGTTGGTTTTATTCGTTTTAAAATACCTTTGGACCATCCAAGTCCATTCATTAGTTCTTTGTGTGTGCATTTCTTTTGCCTTTTGTTTTAGTGGCAAGCTCGTTATTATCATGTGTGCCAGTTTTAAAATTGCATGTGTAATAGTGTGATGCATAGAATGCATCATGAGAAAAGAAATTAACCAAACAATATAATTGGAACACATTAAATAAGTTGAAAACTTTGCAATATTTTGATCACTAATTATATTATTTTCTATATACACTTTGATGAAACTTAATCATGGGTTTTTGGGTCTAAATTTTAAATGTTATTTGTTTGTTTGAGTTCCCTTTGACTTTGTGTTATTGAGTAAATATACTTTCAGATTATATATATCTGTATTTATTCAAATGCAGGCAAGGGATCTTCCCAGAATTGTGCAAGCAGGTTATCACCTGATACCTTATTTCATCTTCAGTCCTCAAGAGGGTGAGTCTCCCAAATTCTAAGACATTGTTTATTCTCAGTTCTGTCGGACAGTTATTTTATCTTTTATCAAATGTTAATGAGATATTAGGCTATATTTGGTGAGCTGTAATGAAATTTAATGTAATGTAATGTAATCAAGGACATTTTTAATGTAAATTTTACATCGGAGATGCCTTCAATTACATTACTTTACTTTCCATTACAGCTTAATGAACTTAGTATAAGTCTTTAGATTTGTATCTTTCTATTAATCCAATTAGAATAACTTGCAATAACTTGAAGTACATGATCCATTTACCCCAGACCTGTTACTTCTATTTTCTCTGTTTTCTACCACCTTGTTAAGTCCGAGGACTACATTTGAAATTACAGGAACTGAAACAGTTTCACGCATGTCTCTTTATCAGAATCTTCATTTTTCAAATAATCTGTATAATTTTTTATCTTTGCTATTAGTGAGATGCATATGTATCTCTTTGGAGATCTAACTGGAGGTAAGGCCTGCAATCCCAATGGCTTATTTTTTGGATTTTGCCAACCTAGTTTGTGTAAGCTGAGTGATTAATATGTTTGCAAGTACCACATGATGGATATCTCTGTGAGGAGCTTCAATGCTTCTTTTTGGTGCTCTTGTGCAAACAAGAAGGTGATGGATGCTGATCTTAGGGAGCTATCTCTATTAGTTTGGTGGTAGTGAATCTAGTTTATGGCAAAATTGTTGAATTATAAATTAAAAAGAATGGCTCAAAAAGTACATGATGAGCAAGCCCTGTTCCCACCCTATCATCAAACAGTAACCTGTAATTCCATAAGGAGAATAATTATAGATATACAAGAATAAAACCCTCTCCAGCACCACTTAAATAATGAGTTAGAAGGAGCTTGATTAAGTTGGTATTCTCAGTTTAAGTGTTAGGATCATACCTGCTTCTCTATCTGTTCAGTATTTCTACTCTCTCTTGCCCACTATATTTCTTTTACTTAGATGGACTAATAATTAAGACTTTTAAGTGGCTGCAAAAGAATCCCTTTGTGTTTATATTATTGATCCTTCCAGATTATTCAAAAAACTTTCTATTATCAGTACCTAAAACTTAAGGTTTTGAAACTTCAAGTTGTCTAGCAATTTGTTTTGGGGGGTTTTAGTTTGTTTTTTTTAATTCCCTTCTTGAAAGTAAGCAGCAAGTTGCCCCTGGGTTTTGCACACAAACATATAGTAGACATCCGCAACATTTTACAGAAAGGATAGGGGACACGGTATTGCACTAGCCAAGGTCATCCAACTCAATACTGCATCAATGAAGCTCATGATATTTGGTGCAAAGAAAACTGAGTTGTAGTAAGATCACCTTAACGAAGAATCTGATTAAATGAATATCTCTCCAATGAAAAATGAAAGTGGAAAACAATTATGTGTAGTATAATTCCTCAGGTGATGATGACATCTTTAGCATGACATACTAATAGGAAGAAACAGGGGGGAGGTGTGGGGGTGGGTGGGGTGCTGTTGAGGGGTTTGGGGTGGGAGGGAAAAACTATCTACTTAAATAAGAAGATGGGATTTTCAAGCTAATCTTATTTCAACTGCCACTAATTCAGGTTCAAGGAGTGCTCTTTTTTCAGCCACTGATCCTCAGATTCCAGAATACTGTGAATTGTTAAAAGCAGATGACTGGCCTGTTTGTCCATTCATCTCTCAAGATTGTCGACCAGCAAATCCTTCTGAAGAAGCACACAATATTGACACTTCCCATAAGTTGTGGGAGAAGACATTACAAATGATTGGCCTGCCTTCAGATGCCGTGGAAAGATTAATAGAAGGGGAAGAAATTACATGCTGCCACACGAATCATCAGGAGTAGTTTTTGTTGCCATCATACGGAAAAGTCCTAGTTCTTAACAGGTAGTTCACGTTGATTGATCATCCCATATGATTGAGTCTGGAGCACTTATTAGTCGAAGTTGGATTATTAGGTTTTCATAGGTATTGGTCCCAAAATTTGTAATCATAAGGGACTAACATTTTTCATGCTAACTTGAGATCAACATGGAAGTCTGATAAATTGTTGCTATCGGAAAAACCAATTTATTTTCTGGATAATAATTATTATATAACCACAGTTTTTACCCCCCACTAAAACATAATCAGAAAGTCAAGAAGTAGAGGCAAAAGTTGCAGATTTTGAGCAGTTTAATTTGCTGATCCACATGTGAGCAGAAGCTGGAGAAAGATCAGCATTCTTTTAATATCATTAATGACACTGTCAAGGTAGGTAAATTCCTGGTTTTTGCCTTTTTGGCATGAAGCTTTTATGAGAACTGCCTGTCGTGAAGCTTTCAACTACTATACTAGGGGAAATGAAAACCTGCAGGGATATACTGCCTGCTTTGCCTTCATGTTAAGCCTAATTCTCTTACTATCTGCTACTGCTGCTGAAACTTCTCCCTTACTGAATCCTGAAAATACAATGCTCCCAAATCCCTTTTTGCGTAGTAAGTAGTAAACTTGATGAAATCATCCATTAAAGAACCTCGTTTCTCAATGTCCTCTGAAGGTATAGCAGCAAGATTTAATGCAGGTTTCAGGTTTCTTGTTGTGTTGCACCAAGACAGTCTCTGAATATAGTGGCATATGTTGGTTTTCCAAGCCATTACATTTTTCTTACAGTGGTTTTTCTCTCATAAGGTGCTCCTCACTTTGTGGGTTAAATTATACGTCTTGGCTTGGAAATATTCTCATTCGATTCTATTTTAATTAGTCGAGTTTGAACTTTAGCAACTTAAATAGCGAGTTGCTTCAAAATTCAACTCGAGTTATTATCAAACCTTGTTGAATATATAAATCTTACATTATTTTGAATATATATTTTATGTTAAATGATTATTTAAATAACAATTTATTAGTTGATCTCAAACTCGAGATATTATTCGAGGTTGATTTAATAATTAATTTGAAATTAGTGAATAAAATTAACATTAATTTACCTTAATCAGTTTAAACTGAGTTTCTTTGAACTTGGATAGGAAAAATAAAACTTGATAAATGCGGAGTTCAATGTCTATCCATGAATTCTCTAACCAAATCAAACTCAACCGGTACACCATTCACTTGCTTAGCAGAATTAAGGGTGTGCAAAACCATGACAGAAACTGATTAAAACCAGCAGAATTGAATGGTTCAGTTTGAGTTGGTTCGGTTCAGATGCTAATTACGATTCAGTTTATGGTTCGGTCTGTCGTCCTAAAATTTCAATTTATATTTTTTCCTCGACGGTCTACTCACCCCTAAGCAGGATAGTATTAGACAATTATTACCATATAGAGATTAAAGGAACAAATCACAAAATGTTATTTCCATTATCGTAATAGTTGACAGTTACTATAACACCTGTTACCTGAAAAACGGTCTCCCCGCAAGGGGAAATTAGTCAAACAATCCGTTAAAAGTATGTCGGCAGTGAAGGTAGTAATGAATTAAAATGGAGAAGAGAGTGATGTTAATGATTATGAGAGTCAGTTTTGTTTGGAGAGTGCAAAGAGCATAATAGAGATTAGAAAGTCTTTTCTATTATAACGACTATATTTTAGTACATGCCTTTGAACAGTTGACTGTGAATATGAACATATGATAACATGACCCACCACTTTGACAAAAGCTAATTATTCTTATATCAAAGTAACCTAACCCATCCATCCATCTTTTTAATTCTATTAGAGAGAGAAGAGAAGAGAAGACAACGCAATTATCAGATTCCAAACACTTGGAATTAGAATCCCTTTCTTTTTTTTTGTCAGTCTTTTCTTTTTTAGCTTTTTTTGCATTAACAAAACTTGATTCGGAAATAGATTTATCAATTAATTAGTTTAGTCAAATTGCTATTTATAGTATCGACCGAGAATTGCATTTTTAATTGAACTTTAGTTGTAAGATCGAGAATTTAAAATCTGAAATAGCTACTGTTGAAAGACTTTACCTAGATATTATATGTATATTTATATCAAATTATACTTCTAAAACCTAATTACAATTGCATTCAAAATTTGAATTTTACATATTGAAATAAGACACTATTGTATTATTTTTAACTTGCAAATTTGTTTTTGAATAAATTAGATCAATTAAATTGATTGAATACCATGAAACTATTATACTTAAATGTCTATTTATTTATTTTCAACTAAAAAAATCATTATTATGTTGATTTATTTGCAAATATAAGATCAAAGTCTCAATTTTTAAAATTAATTTTCGCTAAAAAAAATTCACACTATTAGTACTAAAAAAAATTTAATATTCTCAAGCGGCAATTGCCCAAATGTGGAAAGTTCGTAGAATTCATTTTATTTCTATTTATAAAAAATGTGGGATGTATATTTCCAATTTGTGATTTTATCTATAATAGTTTTTTAAACCAATTGATTAAAAAAAAAAATAGTAATAACTAAATGATAAACATGTGTTCGGCAATAGTCTTTTAAATAATTTTTAGCGCTTTGACTAAACACTATTTTTTATAGTGTTCAGTAATACAGTGTTTGAATTAACTTTTAGATGTTAAGGTCGCGTCTTGTGAAAAGTTAACCCGTGTAACATTTAACTTTTAGCATTTTATAGAAATCTATTCAAACACTTAAGAATTAAACGCTACTAAAACAACTAATTTTATCGAAAAAATTGAAAAGTACGAAAAAAATAAATAAATAAAATTTCCACCGGCTATTGCACTTTCCTCATGTGCACTTAACAAGTGCTTTAATTACTTCACTTATCACTAACCGTCCCATAAGACCCCCACAAAGGCTTTTCTTGCTTTGTATAGAGACAGATAGGGTCACGGGTTGTATATATAAAATTAGAACGTTGGAAGAAATGGGCAAACCATTGTGGAATATAAAGCCAAAATTAAAGGTTGATGATTCTTTCATCTACAATCATTTTCATGTATTGCCCCCACCACCCTCTTTTCCTTCTATATTTCCTTTTTTTCATCATTATCTTAGATTTCATTTTCATACTATCATATCAATTTTATTGTTAGAAAAATATATTTTTCATTTTATATTTGAGAACTCCAAGATATAGTTTAGTTTAAATAATATGTATAACGTATTTCTATAAAAAATATTTTAAAATTTTTTCTGACTTATATTTTTCTGAATCGAGGTTTAATGTAAGTACGTGAAAAAATTCAGTCAGTTTGATATTATTTGAATTGATTTAGATAGAATAAAATGTTTTTAAAAAATTAAATTAAACTGAAATTGTTTTCAATTGTTTTCGTAACAATTGAAATCAAACCAAATTGAATCGAATTAAATTAAGTCAATCAATTCGATTAAATTATATTCAACTCTAATAAATTTGCTATTCTAAAATTGTGATATCTCGAGTTTTATATTGTAATTTTTACTTATTCATATTAGATCTAAATACTTTGTCGATCTATAATATTTTATAATATTTTTTATGATAACTTGTTTTTAATTAGATTCATAAGTTCAATTAGAATGTATGGTAAGTGTATACCAACTTTTCATAATTTGTTTTAAAAAATAACTTTTCATCATATTAATAATTCATTAATGGGTTGATTAAAAATCATTGGCAAGGATTATCATAAATGTCATTTTTATGCTCAAAAGTAAGTATTTATAAATTGAGTAATTTTGGCTCAATTATTAAAATATTCACTTCACTTGAAATGCATATTTAATATAATATATATTTTTATATTATCGTGTTTAATGGGCTTTTTATTTGTAACATGATTTTCTCAGCGTTGCATCATGTGAAAATTTGTCTTTCAGAATTTACAGTGTTCATGTAATATACATATATGTATTGTTATAATTCTAATATCATGTGAAAATTTATCTTTCAGAATTTACGGTGTTCATGTAATATACATATATGTATTGTTATAATTCTAATATCATGTGAAAATTTATCTTTCAGAATTTACGGTGTTCATGTAATATACATATATGTATTGTAATTTATCTTTCCAGAAATTACGGGTGTATACATATATGTATTGTTATAATTCTAATATCATGTGAAAATTTATCTTTCAGAATTTACGGTGTTCATGTAATATACATATATGTATTGTTATAATTCTAATAAAAAGTTTTTTTTAATCTATATTTTTATTTCGGCTCATTAGGTCTTTCATGGAATTAAAAAAAAAAAAGTCTTTTCATATATTTGCATGTATTCTCTAAAAAAATTATTAGCAAAGAGACTGAAAGGAATGTTTTCTCGTGGGCATATGAGAGTTTATGTTTTATTCCTTAATTTTTTTTATGCATTATTGATAAGAAAAATAAAGGGGAAAAAAAATTTTTGCACTAGAGGACACAAAATACCCAACAGTCGGAAAAAGGAAAAAAACAAAAGAAAAAACGTTCATTTCTCCGGTATATTTTTTATAAAGCTTTTTTATTAAACTAAACGTTCATATTCACACCACCCAAGAAAAGTTGCAGATTCTTTCTATTCTACTCTCCAGCTTATTAATACTCTAATCTCTCTATCTCTCTCTCTCTCTTAACAAAAGTGAACAAAAGGGTACTTTCTCTCCACTAGAACCGCTGTTTTTTCTGTGTCATTTCACTTGCTCTTCTATGGAGGCTTAAATGTTAGTGGGCATCTATCTCTTTACTTACCCTTCTTCACAGCTGTTTCCAAGTTCCTCAAAAGGCTCTCTAGTCTCTGCGTTTCTGGTTTTTCTTTACTGGTTAACATCTCTTTCTTGGAAAAGACTGATTCTTGAAAGTGGAGTATATGGGTTTTTGAAGAATTAAAGCTTGGGGTAGTGTTTGGTTTCTGGGAAAGTTTAATTTAGCTCTCATTTTGCTCTTATCTCTAATGGAAGGCATTAATCGGGTGCATTTAGTGCTCGTGCTTTCTTTGGGGATATTTATGGGCACCTTATGTCAGGATGATTCAGATAGTACAATTTCAGCTGTGTATATTGTTACACTTAAGCAAACTCCTGTTTCTCATTACTATGGTGAGCTTAGAAAGGAAACAAATGTGTTTAATCATGGTCCCTCTGGTAGAAGAAATAGACTGCACAGGCCAAGGTACTAAAAGTTTCAAGCTACTCTAATTTTTAGTTGCTTTCTTTATAATTGCTTGAATTTATTGTTGTTACTATGAAATTCTTGTGCTTTTTTTATGTTATGTACTTGTTTTAGTGACAATGAAGGAATTTTGGGTAATTTTACTGATGATTCAGTTTAATGTACTGTTTTTTTTTTTTCATCCCTTGATTATTCCCTTGTTCTTTTTTTTAATCTATTTATTTATGTCCTAATAGAGAAATAGCTGAATGCCGAAGTGGAAGTTTCTTATCGTTGACTGTTAAAAGGTTCAACTCTCATGGGGTCCTCTTGTTTTTCCTGTGGGGTTTTCCCAGGAAAATTGTCTGCCAGGATATGATGGAATTTTGCATTTCTCTTGTTTTATTGATTTTTTCGTAGCCAAATAATGTTGATTTCTCTCTCTTTTGTTTTTTTTTTTTTTTTTTTCTCTGGTGTTTTAGGTTGATCTTTTTTCGCTAGCCAAATAAATTGTTGATTTCTCTCCTCTTTTGTTTTTTTTTTTTTTTTTTTGGTTGTTTGTTTTGTTTCCTTTTTTAATGGCGTTTCTTGTCATTTACAATGTGATGGGACTGTATAAAGTTCTATTCTAAACTGTTTCTGACTGTTTATTGTGATATTCATAAATTCTCCCTCAGTAGTACTCTTTAATTATACTAGGCTACTACCACTCCAGTTATGTTAATTTATCGGCTTATTCAGCAAGAGGTTGCCGAGCTGAAAGAACACTGACAAACTAAAGGCTTTTGATTGCCTTTTTTTTCCCTTCCTATTTTAGGCACAAACTCGAGCTCTCACTCAAAGTTCTGGTTCTTATATAGGCTCGAGTCATGATTTCATTATATTTGAGTGAGGGTACCTAAGGGGGAAAGTTACTTGAAAATTGCTATAGCTTTTGTTTTTTTTTTTTTTTTTGGTTTGTTTGTTTTGTTTCCTTTTTAATGCCTTTCTTGTCATTACAAATTGATGGGACTGTATAAGTTCATTCTAAACGTTTCTGACTGTTTATTGTATATTCATAATTCTCCTAGTAGTACTCTTAATTATACTAGGTACTACCACTCCAGTTATGTTTAATTTATGGCTTATTCAAGAAGGTTGCCGAGCTGAAAGGAACTTGACAAACTAAGCTTTTGATTGCCTTTTTTTTTCCCTCCTATTTTAGGCACAACTCGAGCTCTCATCAAAGTTCTGGTTCTTATATAGCTCGAGTTCATGATTCATTATTGAGGAGGGTACTAAGGGGGGAGAAGTACCTGAAATTGTATAGCTACCACTACTTGATCAATGGATTTGCTGTTCTTGTTACCCAACAACAGGTATATGCAGAGTCATTATTCCCTGTCATGCTATCACCATAATTATGCTGGTAAATGTATAGGCCATGCTCTCATTACAAGTGGTGCCTTTATCTTTTTTCTTTCTCTAATGTACTTTTTTGGCAATAGAACCTGTTCATTCTTTAATTAATATGTATGCTTCTTTCCTTGTTTATTTGCATCATAAATTAAGAAAATGAATGACTTGACTAATTTTTATATATTTTTTTATCTCGGCCAATTTCTAAGGCGGACAAACTATCAAGGAGGAGAGAAGTCGCAAATGTGGTTCTGGATTTTTCTGTTAGAACAGCAACCACCCACACTCCACAGTTCTTGGGTCTTCCACAAGGGGCATGGGTCAAAGAAGGTGGATATGAAGCAGCTGGTGAAGGAATTGTAATTGGGTTCATTGATACTGGCATTGATCCTACTCATCCTAGCTTTGCTGACGATATATCTGAGCACTCATATCCAGTTCCTGGTCACTATTCTGGTATTTGTGAGGTTACTCGAGACTTCCCTTCTGGTTCGTGCAATAGGAAGCTTATTGGAGCCCGGCATTTTGCAGCTTCTGCTATCACTAGGGGAATTTTCAATTCTTCTGAGGATTATGCTTCCCCCTTTGATGGTGATGGGCATGGCACGTAAGTTTGCTTTATTATTTGTTTGTTGATTCTACCTTTTCAGATGTCATATTTATGCATGTCCAAGTATCATTGTTACGGACTGAATAGCTTTATCTCTTCCTTTCCTGCCCTCTGCAATCATTCAAGCATGATAAAAAGTCACTTTAGTTTCTCACATCTTTCTAAGGCTGCTGTAAGTTTCTGATTCTACAGGAGACAAAGGTGATCAGGAAGTTAAATAGTAAGAATACTTTGATTGAACAAATTTTAATGATTGTACTTGATTTAATTCTCACAATTCCAGAGAAATACTTTTGTCTTGATAATCTGATCAAATAATTGCTCATAAGGAGTGGAATATTGTTTCTTTTGTGCACCTTTCTTTCTTGGAAATGCTGCAATATATTAATGTGGTTGTAATTATGTATCAGGCAAATGTTTTTTCATTACGTTCGGTTTTCCAGTCCAAACAGAAGGATTAATTTTTATTTCCAATGTCTTTAATTGAATTAATCTCATGCTGTAAAATTAGAGTTCATTCTTAACCAAATTATTGAGTGCTTTACACGGGCTTACCATTTTTCGCATGCTATATTTTGATGAGGATAGTGATGATGTAAATAATAAATAGTAGTGCTTGATTTCCAGTTAATGAGGTTTCCAGTTATGTAAAGTGATATCCATCTTCAATCAATTCTCCAAAATGCAGCTAACAAAACTTATCATGACGTACAGGCATACTGCCTCTGTTGCTGCTGGAAACCATGGGATTCCCGTGATTGTTGCAGGACATCACTTCGGAAATGCAAGTGGGATGGCCCCTCGTGCTCAGTAATATTTCATTTCTTTTTCTAGCAATATTTGCATCTCCTACATCATTATAACCATGTGTAGGCTGCATTATTATCATATTGGTTGTTATAGGGGAAAGTTTTTGGTTGAATATGGACTACGGAGCAGAAAAACACACTGCTCTGGGCCATGACTACTTTCATTCCATAAAACAATCTGAGGATTTATGTGAATTGATTTGTTGTTTTAACTCTTAGACTGGCTGTCAATTTTATTTGAACTTCTTTTTATAATGTTTTAGTGAATAGGGCAAGTCATAAATTGATCGATTCTGAAAATAAATTGGATGCAGGCAACATATATTATTATTGACTTTCAAAGTATTCAGAGAAAAAAAAAAAATCAAATGACAGGTTTAACAGGTGATAGAACATTATTGAGTGGATGAACAGATTATTTGCAAGTTGTGATGCTTCTTGATGCTTGTTTATTGCTATTATGCATTGACTGAGCTGATAGCATTGTAACTTTGAAGCAGTTATACACTGAAAATAGCTAACCTGGTGACTTCTTAGGTACAGAACTATCGTGTCAAGAAAAGCAAAGTGGTTCCCTTAGAAAAAACATCTGGAAATTCACATTTTAATATTATTTCTTCCCATACTGGCACACATATATTTAAATTTGAGCTTCATAACATTTCTGTCTGTGATGATGGTACTCTCGTGTTAACTTCAAGCTTGTGTTTTCCAGTATTGCGGTATACAAGGCATTGTACAAGAGTTTTGGAGGCTTTGCCGCTGATGTAGTTGCTGCAATAGACCAGGTAATTTTTACTTGCTCTTTTTCTGCAAATCACTTTCCATTGAACTGATTAAACAGTCTTAAAGAAGCTTAGAATCACAGTAGCATATGATGGAAATATTCTGTATCGTTTATCAACATGCTCTTTCTTTGCATACCGGATCATATATATTTTGTCTTTACCTACAATAATTTGAGCATCTCACATCATTCAGTGCCTCTCCCCTTTCTTTGGGTTAACCAATGTGGTGTGAGACTGGCAGAAGTTGGACCTCTTATTTTAGGGCCAAAATATTTTGAAACATATATGCTTCTGCAAATTTCTAAATGTTGGCAAATAACCCTGGCTTCTTCGATCATAACCCGATTGTCATTTGGTGTTGTTCCTATGTTGCTTCTTTTTTCTAACTACTTGGATTTAATTTACAACATAGACAACAATTTTTATATTGAGAAACAAAATTAGCCAATTTCTAGAGAGCACATTCATGCTTGAACATACCTCCTCGTGTGAACATTGTAGAGGTGTTCATGGGCTTGGAGCCCGCCTGGCCTTACTAAAAATTCCAGGCTCGGGCAAGGGGTTTTGTACCCAGGCCCAACCTGTCTCTTAATCGGGCTGGGCTTGGAACCACAGTTACGTAGGGCCCAGCTTCTTGATCAATAAAACTTAAATTTTTCAATATTTTATTGTTGCTTGGTCACTGTAGTGGGCTTGAGTGGTCTTCCTGACCTGGCTTGCACAGTAATCAGGTCTAATTCCTTGAAATCGACATTGATGTTGATTATGCATTTGCAGGCAGCTCAGGATGGGGTTGACATTATTAGTTTATCAATCACTCCAAACAGGCGCCCTCCTGGTCTTGCAACATTCTTTAATCCCATAGATATGGCTCTGCTGTCAGCGGTGAAGGCTGGCATTTTTGTTGTGCAAGCAGCAGGCAATACCGGACCATCGCCCAAGAGCATGTCTTCCTTCAGCCCATGGATTTTCACTGTTGGTGCTGCTTCTCATGACCGAGACTACAGTAACTCTATGACTCTTGGCAACAATGTTACCATTCCTGGAGTTGGACTTGCTCGTAAGTTTCTTTTCTGATGTTACTGCTTCGTTTCTTCTCTGTTTTGGAATGCAAATGTAATGAATCTGAGTCTCTTTGATCCTATATATGCATAAAAATGGGGCCAAAACCCAAAAGGAAAATAATAACTATAAAGGAAACAGTAACAATATTGGAAAGTGAACAAGAACTATGAAGTTAAACTTTATTGATAAAAATTGAAGTTCAAAGACCGAGTGACTATTGACAAGTTAAATGACTATGTTGAAGATAAACCTTTTATTATGTTTATGAGTTGAACTTTTTTAATTTTGTAGTTATTGCCTGTGACTTAGTGGTCCAGTTCTACCAGCCACCAATAAAGTATGGTCCATTTTTTAGTATATCCATTTAAATTTAAATTATGAATTTAATATAATTTACACCTTATAATTTATCACTCTCTTGTTTAGCTTCTAGCAGACCAACTGGGTGTTATAATTATCCTACTTAATTATGCTATTTCAGTCTAGTTTGATGTTGTGTACTTAATGTCATAGGAATAGACACTAACATGCATTGTTTTACTTCAGCGGGAACAAAAGATGCTTCGTACACTTTGATATCTGCAATTCATGCTCTGAACAATGATACAACTGTTACCACTGATATGTATGTGGGTGAATGCCAAGATTCAAGTAACTTCAATCAGGATGTGGTACAAGGAAATCTCCTGATATGTAGTTATTCTATCCGATTTGTTCTTGGGCTCTCCACCATCAAACAAGCCTTAGAAACAGCTAAAAACCTCAGTGCTGCTGGTGTTGTGTTCTATATGGATCCTTTTGTAATTGGTTTTCGGCTTAATCCAATTCCAATGAGGATGCCTGGCATCATAATTTCGTCCCCTGATGATTCCAAGGTGAAGATTCTGTCACTGTTTGCTGGCAGATCCATATGACTTTTTTTCTTAGTTTTATGCTTCAAGAATCTTAACAATCTATTAGGGGTAGATATAAATGGAGAGAGGAAGTGAGAGGAAAGCAAATGGGAAGGTAAAGTCTTGAGGAACAAAATTTTTTTTGGTTAGTTTGGATTAGAATACAAAAGAAATTTTTAAACAATAGATGAAATTATGTTTCTGTTCTTTACTTTTTTGTTTTCTTCTTGAGAAAGATTTGTAGGGTGAAGGGGCAATTTTGGTGGGTGCCATTTGGCACTTCCATTTTTCTTTCTTTCCCAAACAGAGTTAAAGGAAAATATCCTTTTATTTTCCTTTCCTCTTCAATTTCATCCTCCCATTTGCATTATAAATGGTATCACTCATATAATGGCATTTCTTTTTCATTTTTTAATGTGAAAAGTTAGGTTCTGGTTTAGCCGTACATTTTGGAGTGAACTGTCCCTCATTCACACGCTGATTCTATGTAATGTTGAGAGAACTAACTGATGCTTTCATAATTCTTGTGGCAGATTTTACTTAATTACTACAATTCTTCTTTGGAGATAGATGCAATGTCAAAGAAAATCATTAAATTTGGGGCGGTTGCATGCATTTCAGGTGGACTGAAAGCTAACTACAGTAATTCTGCTCCTGTAGTTATGTTTTACTCTGCTAGAGGACCAGATCCGGAAGACAGTTTTCTTGATGATGCTGATATTTTGAAACCCAACCTGGTAGCTCCAGGAAATTCTATATGGGCTGCTTGGAGTTCTCTTGGAACTGACTCGGTAGAATTCCAAGGTATAAATGCACACACATCAAACAACTAATAGTGAGAGACCGTGAGGTTTACTTAGCTTGCAGTACAAGCTTATTATTCTAATAGTATGAACTTAATCCTCTAGGTGAGAATTTTGCAATGATGTCTGGGACAAGCATGGCTGCTCCTCATGTTGCTGGGCTTGCTGCATTGATTAAACAAAACTTCCCCAGTTTCAGTCCTTCAGCGATTGCTTCTGCTCTCTCGACAACAGCTTCTTTAATTGACAAAAACGGTAGGTCAATAATGGCTCAACGTGCTTATGCCAACCCAGATCAAAATAAATCTCCAGCAACACCATTTGATATGGGCAGTGGTTTTGTGAATGCAACAGCGGCTCTGGATCCAGGCCTAATTTTCGATTCCAGTAAGTTGTTCTGAATTTGCCGCCTACTCCCTTCTCTGACAATTGAGAGCCTGTTTGACATTGATACTGAAACAGTTTTCGGGAAAGCATCATTAGCATTGATGTTAAAATCGGTTTTCAAGAAAAGCATAATTTTGTATAATTGTTTTAAAAAAACAGTTTGGGAGTATTCTTTAATTTGGTTTCAATTCTATTTAATTGTTTTAACATAATGTTTTTATCAACAACTTGAACAAAAATACCAAAAAATCCTTATTTTCGTATTTATCATATGATGAGTAGAAATATGAAAAATGTGAAAACTATTGAGATAATTTGTCTTTTTTTTTTTTGCTTATAAACTTACTGTTTGTGTTTTGTTTTGCAGGTTATGATGATTATATGTCATTTCTCTGTGGAATCAATGGCTCTGGTCCTGTGGTCTTCAATTACACAGGCCAAAATTGTTGGACATATAATTCAACTATCAACGGTAGTGATTTGAACTTGCCCTCAATCACAATTTCTAAGCTAGATCAGTATCGGATGGTCCAAAGAACAGTAACCAACATTGCTGGCAACGAGTCGTATAATGTCGGTTGGAGCGCACCATATGGGGTGGCAGTTAAGGTGGCTCCAACTCACTTCACTATTGCCAGTGGAGAAAAGCTGGTATTGAATATAATGTTGAATGCGACTATGAACAGCACTGTTGCTGGCTATGGAAGGATTGGACTTTTTGGAAATAAGGGTCATGTTCTTAATATTCCAATGGCAGTAATTCTTAAAACCTATTACAATACAACTAATATATAGCTGAGGAATGAGAATGTTTTTTATTTTTTTCCCCCCCTTCTCTTAAAATGTCTTATAACCTGTTTTTAGGTTTTTGTATTTGTAATTTTTTGATATGCCTGTGAGATGTATCAACCAATTTTTTCATTCATTTTCATGTAAATGCCAAACATTTGTGATATAGATGTGATTTATTAATTATTCTCAGTCTCTCTCTACTTTTTTGTGTGTTCAAATATTAATTTATTTATAAATGAAATTTGCATGTTTGGAGTAAATTGAAAATTGAAAATTCATTTGTTTTTTATTGTTTAAATTTGTAAAATTCATTTGAAAATTTAGTTATATTGAAATTCATAAAACTTAATTTTTTTTTTTCATATAAAACCTAAAAATTTGAAAATATGAATGAATGCCACATTTACATGAAACGACAAATAATGTGCAATCTGCGCTTGAAAAAACATATATATATATAAATAATATATACAAGTATAAGCTTGCAATGTGTGCCCATTTATTGTGGCATTGGTTCAAATTCTGATAAGGCAAGACTCGTAGTACCTGAAAGAATGCAAGGTCAATCGTTAACCCTAATCAATCCCGTCCTTTAGTTTTCTTTTTGCTAAAATTTACCATCATAAAATTGTGTTTCATGGTTTGCTAATATAACGTGTTAAATTATAATTTTACATTATATAAATTCATTTGTTTTTATGGTTTAATTTGTAATAAAGTTCATTTGAAATTTAGTTATAATTGATAATTCATAAAAACTTAATTTTTTGTTGTTTCATATAAAAACCTAAAAAGGGTGTTTTGAAAAATATGAATGAATGCCACATTAACATGAAACGAGCAAACAACATAATGTGCAATCTGCGCTTGAAAAAACATATATATAGTATAATTAATATTTACAAGGTATTAAGCTTGCAATGTCTGTGCCCATTTAATTGTGGCAATTGGTTCAAATTCTGATAAGGCAAAGACGTTCGTAGTACCTGAAGAACTGCAAGGTTCAATCGCTTAACCCTAATCAATCCCGTCCTTTAGTTTTCCTTTTTGCTAAAATTTTTACCATTCATAAAATGGTGTTTCATGTTTGCTAACTTTAATAACGTGTTAATTATAATGTTTACAATATATCATACTTTAGTTATTATATATCTATTTTTAATTGAGTTTTATTTCGTTTATTTTATATCAAAAATAAAAATTTATTAATTATATTCCTTTAACTATATATATAAATAATAATATATTTATCATATATTTATTTTTGTGTATGTAGAGAAGTTTATTATTAAACAATAATATAAACCTATATCATATATAAATAATTTTATTAATGAATAACTGTGTTAAAAATATATCTCCCAGTCCAATTGATATTTCAATATAATTTATATATAATAGTGTATGTTGTATGTGAAGCTTATTTTCAATATGAATATGGAAATTATAAAGTCGGGTGGTCTTAGATGTATATTCGGTTCTCGATCCATAAATATTTAGTATGTCGAGCAATTTTTAAAGCAATTTCTAATTATTTTCCTCCCCTATTCTCCCACTATTATTAGTTATAAATTACATTTATTTTTTTTAGAATAAGTTATTTATAAAAAATAATTATAACCAATCAAATTAAATATTTATTAAAATAATAGTTAAACATATTATATTCTCACCATATTATATTTAATATAATTAATTAAAATTAGATTAACTTTATTTTTCAATTAATAAAATTAAAATCCTTAATGATATTTTCGTCGATCCATAAATTTAGTAGGAGCATTTTAAGCAATTCTAATATTTTCCTCCCTATTCCCACATATATATATATATATAGTTTTTGAAAATGTGTTTTGCTTGTTGTTTATACTCTCATTGTATATACTCATGATTTAAATACTCCTTATGTCCCAAAATATGAGTTATTTAAAATTTTTGCACAAATATTAGGGAAGTAATTAATTATCCTAAATTAGAATAAAATCAAAGGTAATTTGACCAATTTATCATTTATCTCAAAACCAATAGTTACTTATGAAAAGTATTTATTGTATCTAATATAAACAAGGGTAACAATAGAAAAACATCATTTATTACTTTTTAAAATACATGATACGACTTATATTTTTGGATAAAATAATCACCAGTATTAATTATTATCAAAATAATATATAAGTTTGTGCTAAAATAATTGTCCTTTAACATAAACTTTTTTTTTAAATTTTAATATTGTACCAAGTTTAGTTCAAATTTAATATGTTATTTGGAAAAGCAAGAGTATTACTATCTCTGTTCTATAATACTTGTCACATTTGAAATTTTACGTTCTTTAAGAAAACTATTAAATTTGTCTAAGTTGCAATAAATTATTAAGTAAATTTTATTAAGTAAATTTAACTATATTACCCTTAATTTTAATACTTAATATCCTTAAGAAAATCATTAAATTGATAGTACTATTGATATTGAGTTTTCAACTATTACAAAGAGGTAAAACACGAAAAAAAACAAACAAACATTTAGTATTCTTGAAACCACATAATGTGACAAGTATTTGCTAGAACAAAACTATTTTCTCATAATATAACAAATTCATTATGGAATGCGGTAAGTAATTAATTACTCTATACCGTTTCACTATTAAATTAATAATATTTGTATTTGAATAAAAAATTTTAAAAAAATATTTAGAAATATATGTTTGATTTTCTTATATCAATGATAAATAATGACTAGGAATGCTCTACAATTCGATCATTTTTTTTAAATAAAAAAAGGGAGGTCATATTCAATTTAGCCTCTATACTTTGACAGTTAGCCCGTTAACGGCTTTTAAATAATTAATTATCTACTATAGTAGGAAATTAAGGCTAACATTTAAAAACTTGGTTAAATAATCCTAAGTCTTGTTTATTTTCCGATTTATTTGACACACACTTGTAAGTTAAACTCTCTGTGAGACATCAACGAGTTTTTTTAATCATGTGATCGTGAGATTTACCAAGCTTCTTGTTTCAGAGCTCAATGATATTGCCAAGTGTTTCCCCTTCTCGCGTTGACGGCGTGGGTGGGCGTGTGCGTGGTCCTCCTAGGCGGTTATATA